CCGTCCTCGGCCTCGTCCTCGTCCTCGTCCTCGTCCTCGTCCTCCTCGTCGTCGTCGTCCTCGTCCTCGTCGTCGTCGTCGTCGTCCGCCGTCGTGGCCCCCAAGAGGGGGCAGGCCCCCGGCGGCGCAGGGGCCCCGGGCGCTCCCCCCGCAGCGCCCCCCCCCCCCCGCCACCACGCGCGGCCCCTTTGCGGGGGCACCTGCGCGCCCGCGCGCCTGCGGGCGGAGCCACCGAGATGCCTTCGGTACAGTTGCAGTCCGCCCGCGCCCGCGGCAAGCGGCGGCGGCCAGCCACGGCTGTGGGCTGTGTGGGGGGGGGGAGCCTCGAGACGGGGGTCAATGCAAACGGAGGTCAGCCAGGGCACCGGATCCCGCAGGATCCTGCGAAGACCCCCTCTGGCTGACCCGGGTTAGCGAGCCGCTCGTGGCCGCGAGGCGGCCGCGCGTATTGGCTGACCCGGGTTTGCGAAGACCTGCGCTGCAGTTTTTGTTCCTGCATTGCAGTTGTTGGTTTCCTCCTGACCCGGGTCTGGATTGACCCGGGTCAGCAGATCCCCGATGGGGGGGGGTCGGGTGTTGTCAGAAGGGCCCTCGGCCCGAGGTTCAAGCAGAGGCGACGCGTCGTGGCTCGCCTATAGGCGCACCCAAGAGAGTTCTGAGAGCCGCTTGTGGTCTGCACGAGGTGTTCTCGGAACGTTTCTGGCTGGGGCCGTCTTGTTTCAACACGCTTGGTTTATGGTCTGGGAACCTCCTTTCTGTTCTTAGAACATGTTTGGGCTCCAAGAACATCTCGTGGTAGGCCTAGTTTTAGGAATGCCAGGGCGGTCGGCCCCGGCTCAAGAGGTGCCCCCAGGGGCCTCCAGAGTCCAGAGCACCCCATCACGAGGCCCAGGGGGCTCCAGGCGACCCCAAGCGGAGCGAGAAGCCGGGGGCACCCTGGGCCAGGGGCACCCCTATAGCAACCTCCGATAAAGGGGGGGCGGGCGCGTGCCCTCTGCGGCAGGTTCGGGCTCTGCTGGGCGTGGTCCCGGGCCGAGGTGCTCCCGGGCTCTCAGCACAGGAACAGGCGCCCATACCGCTACCCTCCCCTCGTTTCCCCCCTCCTCGGGGGACGGGGAGGAGGAGGAGGATTTCTTGACATCCACCGCCAGTGAACGCACGGAGTAGCCCAGGCCACTCTCCTGTACCGAGGGAGCTTGGGGCCCCGCCAGAAAATTACAGAGGACCTCGCAGCAAGAGAGGCTCTCGAACCTCCACTGCGTGACACGAGCAAGCACAGAATAGCAAAAGCATCAAATGACAGACCAGGGGCCACGCTCAACGGTAACCTCTGTTCTTTTCGGATGTTCCCCTTTGCAAATGGAAGACCAGGCGCTTTGGGCTCCATTGGACTGCGGAACACCATGACACTTCCCAGACGGATTCCGAGGGTGGCCTTGGCTGTTGTATGCGTTACATCTCGTGCACACGAACAGCAACGCATTATCAGAGCAAGCGAGCGCTAACAATGGTGCTTCCGAAGGACAATGGCCTTCGGGTCAATCAGAGGAGGCTTGGTACGGGCGCCGGGAGGCGGGGCTCCAGACGGTTCGGATCCAACGACTCTGAAGCCTTGACGCCTTTGGACACCCTTAAACCAGTTTCACACTGCCAGAACTTTGAAACGCGCACCCAGCTGTGGGCTGGACCAGTTATTTTGGGCTGAGTGGGTTTAGCCGACCTCTCCAACGCAACCCCTTTCAGGTTCAGTCGGGGCCAAGAGGGCATCACATCACAAGAAAGATTGGCAACCGCTTTGGATACCTTCAGCACGCGGTCAAGCCATTGCGTCTCCTCGAGGTTGGGCTGAGATTGTCTAGACAGCGTGCTCTTGGCGACAACGTCAGCCAAATCATTCCTTTCCTTGAGGAATCGTTCGCGCGTACTTAAATCTGGCGAGTCGGCAACGTGTGCTCTAACCTTAAAAACGCCGTCGACCACCTTGCGGTGAGTGGTAAGCAAAAAGCCCGCATAAGGGCTCTTGTAGCACAACGCTCCGACTAAAGGTTCATTCGCTTGAGCAATTCTTGCAGTCGGAATAGATGGAAGAACCTCGAAGGGCGTGCATTGCGGTTCGAAACTAGTCTTCTCAGGGTAACCCCTCCAACGAACCTCAACACCATGGTCATCAGTATCACCGCGGGCAGGGCGGGGTAGCACGTCGCCAGGGTGTCGAAACAATCCCCTGGTGTAGAGGAGGAATTCTCCCTCCTTGGCTTCAGAAGGATCAGGGGTAGGGAACGTATCAAACCCGCCTTTGAGCCTGGACAGAGACTCTTCACGCTCGGTCTGCACCGCCGTGCATCGCCAAAGCCTGTCGCAAATCGTGGGAGCCTGGTATACCCTCTCGATTCCGTCTTTAGCCTCGATCAGCGTCTGGGAGTCGATGAGATGTGCCGATCTAGCGTCGGTTAGCGTCGATTTAGCGTTGTAAATTGTCGGCTAGCGTCGATTAGCGTCGATTCGATTAGCGTCGATTCGCACGAGCCGACAAGATGGGTATGGGAGGCTCCCATGAGTTGCCACCGAACCTTCTCCTTCGCTTACCAGGAAGAACAGGATGGGCGGGTGGACCCGCACACCCATCCTCACGCCCTCACCAGCCTCCACTGAGCCTCCAGTCCCCCCTTTCCTTCGGCGCGCGAGCTGCGCGAGGCTTCGGTGATGTCGTGGACCGCTTTTCCGTTTCGACCCCGCTTTGCAGCAGAGGCAGCACGCAGGGGAAACTGTAGCACAACGAGCACCAGGAAGCACTGCCTGTATCTCGAGCCCCGGGGAAAAAGCGCCGCGGCCACCGGGGCAGACGGCGCCTCGGGCGCAGTGGCCTCGCCGTGGGTGCCGCCGCGGTGCCGGCGCCGTCTGCTTGGGCGCGGGGCCTCCGAGTCTGCCGTGGTTTTGCCGCGGGTGCCGGCGCTCGTCCGGAGCAAACGCCGCGGCGACGGGTCCCTGGAGGGCTTCTCCGGAGGGCTCAGGCGACCCTCCTTCTCCTCCTCCTCCTCCTCCTCCTCTTCTCCTCCTCCCCCTCCTTTCCTCCTCCCCCTCCTCCTCCTCCTCCTCCTCCTCCTCCTCCTCCTCCTCTTCTCCTCCTCCTCCTCCTCCTCCTTCTCGGGTCGCCCACTTGCGGCCCCGGGGGGGAGCCGTGCACAGGTCCCCCCGTTCATGCACGCACGGCGGCCCTCCCCCCGCTCGCGCCGCCCTGGGCCCACCAGAGTGCCTCTGCGTCTCGCCGCGGCCGCACTCACCTCGGGCCCCTCTGCCAGGGCGCGCCTCTCCGGAGGGGTCCCGGTCGCTCGCGGCCCGCGGCGGCGCGTTGCGCCCCCCACCGGGCGAGCGAAGAGGCCCGTGACCCCCTCGAGCAATGACAAAGTCATGGCGGGTTTTCTTTCGCCATGTTCGGCCCCTCGAGCAATGACCCCCTCGAGCAATGACAAAATCATGGCGTTTTTTTTCGCCATTCTCGGCCCCTGGGGGCCCTGGCCAGGCCTCGGGGCCGTCAGAAGACGAGTCAGGATGACGAGCCGGTCCTGGGGAATGGATCGAGATTTCTGGGAGTCGACGTAGTGAAGCAATCATGACGACGTCGGGGTCTGGGGACGGGGTCGATGCACACGGGGGTCAGCCATAGCGCCCGATCTTGCAGAATCCTGCAGGGCCAGGGTCGCATTGACCCGGGCTTGGGTGCAGGATCCTGCAGGATCTTGCAGGATCCTTCGCGTTGACCCGGGTTCGGGCGCAGGATCTTGCAGGATTCTGCAAGGCTTGACTGACCCGGGTCCAGATTGAACCGGGTCATAAGATCCCCGATTGCATTGCATCTTGAGCAAACATTGGTGCCTTCTCTTGTGCCTGGCGCGCCCTCGATTAGGGCTCGACGCGGAATGGGCGTGGATTCGATGCGGATTCGGCACGGGTTCGACACGGATCCGATGAGGCCGACATGGATTCGACACGGATTCGACGCAGATAGGGCCGCGATGGGACAGTTAAGGTCCCCCGAGGGTGCAACACAACCATCCTCGCGTCGTGGGTCAATATCGCGCCGTTCGTGGGAACCTCGGACGGCGACGCTGGAATCGGCTTTCCCAGACCCCCTCGCGCGGCGAGGAAGAATCACGACGGAAAGTTTTATGACTATGTTTGGCCTCCGGGGGCCTCGACGGGACAGACGAGGGCCCCTGAGGATACAGCAGAAGGGAGAGCGCCTGGGCGTCGGGCCACGAGCTCGCGGGTGCAGCGCGCGGGCGGGTCGTGGCCGGGCAAGGCCAGAGGTCAAAGGAGGAATAGAGGTCAGAGGTCAAAGGAGGAGGGAGTGAGAGGAGGAGGGGGAGGAGTGCGGAGGAGGAGGGGGAGGAGAAGAGGAGGAGGAGGAGGAGGAGGAGGAGATGGAGGCGGAGGAGGAGGAGGAGGAGGAGGAGGAGGAGAAGGAGGAAGGAGGCTTCCTCAGCCAATTTCTATGCGTACCCACCCTTCCCTCGTTTTCGTTTTGTCGGGGGCCTTCTGGGAGGCCCTCGTCCCTACCGCATAGTAAGGATGAACGACTTCTTGGGTTACCCCTGCATCTTTTCCCTGCGACCCATCCTTGGTCGCTTTCGCTGGCCGCGCCCCGCTCGCAAAGTGTCGACATGGCCTTCCAAGGCCCGGAGGAGCAACTTTCGAAGGTTGCCCTTGCATCCTTCCCCTCTGCCCCATGCTCGGCCACTTTCGGAAGCGGTATCCGAACCGTCTGGCCTCGCCAGAAGAAGGCTGGTGCACTCGCCAGCGAGCAGCGGGAGATCAAGGGCCGCGGCTTTGCCGGTGGTCTCCCTGACGGATGGTGGTGTGTGGGTGCGTTGGTTCTGTGGGTTGTTGTCCGGTGGCAAATCATGGGAGCCTGGTGTACCCTCTTAGTTCCGTCTCTAGCGTCGATTAGCGTCTGGAAGTTGATGATATAACGTCTAGTAGCCTCGATCTAGCATCGATTCGCGTCGATTTGACGTCGATTAGTGTCGGTCTAGCGTCGACTTAAGTCGATCCGCAAGAGCCGACAAGATGGCATGGGATGCTCCCATGAGTTGCACCGAAGGTTCTGTGGCTTGTTGGCACTCTCTGCTCTTCCAGTGTGCGTCACCTGTCTTGTTCTGCCCTGCCGCCGCCCGCGTGCGGTCTCCCAGGGGCTCGCAGTGTGTCCGCGTGGCTTCGTGAGAGGACTCATCCATTCGAGCGCAGTCCTCCATCGGTTTTGCACCGTTGACTGGTTTCTTCAGTGCGTTTGAGAACTTGTGCGTGCATTTCCAAGTGAGGCCTCCAAGCTGGAAAGGCTGCCAGAACTGTGCACGCTATCACCCTAGGTGGTAAGTTTGCTTAGCGTGCGCCCCGCCTCTGCTTACGTTACCCGTTGATTGCTGTCACCAGCGCGTCGGAGGAAAAGCGTGTGCGTGGCGAGGGAGGATGCGCGTGTGGAGGGATGCACAGGCCGATGTGTGAATACATGCATACATATATACATATGTATGTATATATATATATATATATACATATGTATATATATATACATATGTGTATATATATATATATGTATAGATGGGCTGACGGATGCAGTGGGTGATCTGTGCATTGTGACCCAGTGGTCGTTCGTTCGTCTCGGCATGATGATGTTGCGGAGGAAGAAAGAAATGGGAAGGGGAGAGTGCGGGGTACAAGGAGGAGGAGGTGGAGGAGGAGGAGGAGGAGGAGGAGGAGGAGGGCGGAGAAGGAGGAGGAGGGCGGAGGAGGAGGAGGAGGAGGAGGAGGAGGAGAGAGGAGGAGGAGGGGGAGGAAGACAACGAGGACGAGGACGATGAGGGCGATATGGGGAAAGCCTGGCCTCGCGTCTTCGGCCTGGGGGTTGGAAAGGCCGCCGCCCGCGGCGGCCTGTCGTGGCCCCGGCCCCCCCGACGTGACGTCCGAGCGCTACATGGCGCCGGGACTCCTGCCGACTGCTTCGGCCGCGCCCCGGCCGGCGTCCCCGAGGGGGGCGCGGCCGCGGCCGCCGAGAGAGAGCCGCCCCCCCCCGCGGGAGGCCCGAAAAGGCCAGCAGCCCCCCGCAGAAAGCTCCGAGCCTCGGTCGGCGACGGCGGCGGCGGCGCCGACGCCGCCGCCGCCGACCGCGCGGCGCCGCCGCCGGCGCCAGCGTCGACGCCGATGCCGAGGCCGACCGCGCGGCGCCGGCGCCGGCGCCGACGACGACGATGTTGTTAGCGGTGCTATAATGACGATGACGCCGCTGGCGGCGCCGACGACGACGGCGCCGCCAGCGGCGCCGACGACGACGACGGCGCCGCCGCCGGCGCCGACGACGACGGCAGCGCCGACGGCGGCGCCGTCATCAGCACGTCGCCCGAGGAGTGCGGCGGAGGCCGAGGCGCTGCGCCAGGAGCTGGCGGCCGAGCGCGCGGGGCGGGGCGCGGCCCCGGCGGAGGCGGAGGCCGCGGCGGCGGCCGAGGCGGCGGCTGGCCACAGCTGTTCGGGGGGTGGGGTGTTGTCAGAAGTGCCCCTGGCCCATCCCAGGCCCCCTCGAGCAACGAAAAAAAATATGACGGGAGGTCTTTCCTGATTTTCGGCCTCGGGGGCCCTTCACCGGGCCTCGGGAGCGTCAGAAAACGACTCAGGATGCAAAGCCGGTCATGGGGAATGGGTCGGGACCTCTTGGGGTCAACGTAACGCAAAAGTCATTACGTCGGGGGTCTGGGAAGGTTCGGGGAACGAACAATAACAGAAGCATAATAACTCGGAGGCCCGCGCGGATTTCTGGGATCGGCGCTGGGGCCCCCTGGCGGCGCCTCCGGCGCTGCCCTTGGCGCGCGCTCCGCGCGCCAGGGAGGGGGGTCGATCGCGGATCCAAGAAATCCTCGCGGACCTGTGAGTTTTGTGTAGTCTTTCGTTCCCTTTCACGGTGCCCCCAGGAATTCTAAGGAGGCTCCCACGGCCTCCAGCGCACCCAGGGGCTGCCAAATGGAGCGAAAAGCTGGGGGCACCTTAAGCCAGGGACACTTCTAGCAACCCCCGAGGGGGGGGGGGGGGCGCGCGACCCTGTGGCATGTTCGGCTTCTGCTGGGTGTGGTCCCGGGCCGAAGTGCTCCCAGCTCTCATAAGAGGACAAGGTACCTATACCACTACCCTCCCCTCGTTTTCTTTTTTTCGGGAGAGGAGGAGGAGGAAGAGGAGGAGGAGGAGAACCTCGTCGCTACCGCTTGATTCGTTTAGAAACTGTGGTCAGAACGCACCCAGGGAGAGGTCGGTGGAGCAGCGGTAGTCATTGGTACCTGTTGGTTTCCCCAAGCTTCTCGCCGGAGGGCGGAATGGAAATACTAGCCATGGTGTCAAGTACATCCTCTCCGAGACTCATGTGAAATCAAATCCCTGTCGACAGGATCAAGGCAATGCCCGAATCCATGATGAATCGGCAAAATGCTGTATCGGTACCCTCTGGTTTCCCCAAGCTCCTCGCGGGAGGGAAGAAGAACACCATTGGGAACGCCGACGCTGGGAGCTCGTCGGCGTGTCCCTGCCTCGCCTGTGTCCGCAGGCCAGGTGCTCCTTCCGCAGTGGCGCGCTGATGGGTCCGCGCCCGTCGGCCGCGAGCGCATATCGAAATCCTTCAACACCTACGCGTGCGCTTTTCCCCGATTCGTGACGCAATCATAGGCCATTTAACAATCTTAACAATGTCGACCAAAAAACGGGGATCTCGTGCGCGCGTGTCGAAATATTCGAACGTCCTCGGGCGCGTGCTTGGGGGCGGGGCACGATCCCTGTCAAATAATTCGATGCAAGCCACCTGGTTCCGCAGGCCGTGCGCGCATGTTGAAGTCCTTCCGACGCCTTCATCACAATCGCGTGGGCACCATCATCATCATCATCATCATCATCATCATCATCATCATCATCATCATCATCATCATCAGCATCATCAGCATCATCAGCATCAGCATCAGCATCAGCATCATCATCGTCATCGTCATCGCCATCGTCATCACCATCATCGTCATCATCGCCATCATCATCATCATCATCATCATCATCATCATCATCATCACCATCATCACCATCATCACTAGCGTGATCACATCGGCGTCGTCATTGGCCTTGCCGTCGTCATCGTCGTCGTCACCAGTATCGGTATTATCATGATCGTGCCTGCAGTTGCCGACGTCGCCATGATGCCGCGCCCGCCCGAGTCACCGATCCACGCGAAAGTGCCCGCGCGTCAGCGCGCCGGTCGCCTGCGGGGACGGTCCCTGCGGTCAGCGCCAGCATGTATTGGGAAGTCCCCTGCGGTCAGCGCCACCGCGGTTGCGTCGGTCGCGCCAGACCAGCTGGCCGCTCTCCGCGCGAGTCTGCGCGCGCTAGTGCGGCCGCAGCGGGGCGCCAACCCGCGCCTAGCAAACATCGCGATCGCCTCCGCATGGGTTTCGCCAGCTAAGTTGCGGGTGGGTGGGTGGGATGATTGCGAGAGGAATGGAGTTGACAACTTCCAGTTCGGCCAGGTGAATTGCACCACGTAGATTGCCCCACATCGGTTGCATCGAATCATTGTTTAGGGTCCAGTCTGGCTAATTGACACGGTGGCCTCTTGATGAGTGTTTGGGGGGCACTCCTCGTCTTATTGGGAAAGCTGGGGGCAACCTGGCCGTAGCCCTTGCGTCGGATTCTCGAGGGAGAAAAGGACGACATAATCACAAGCTTTCGGAGGTCCGCGCGGATTTCTTGGATCGGCGTTGGGTGAATTGCACCAAGTAGAATGCTCCACCTCGGTTGCATCGAATCTTTGTTTAGGGTCCGCGCTGGCTGACACGGTGGCCTCTTGATGTGTGCTTTGGGGGCACTCCTCGTCTTAGTGGGAAAGCTCGGGGCAACCATGGGCCAGGGCCGTGGCCTTTGCGTCGGATTCTCGAGGAAGAAAGGACGGCATAAACACAAGCTTTCGGAGGTCCGCGCGGATTTCTTGGATCGGCGCTGGGCCCCCCCTTGGCGGCGCCTCCCCTGGCGCGCTCCGCGCGCCATGGCGAGGGGTCAGCGCAGATTCGCGAACTCCGCGCGTACGCTCCATAGCGTATGTTTGTTCACCCTTGCTTGCTTCTCTGGGCTCGCGCCGCGATGACGCGGCGACGGTCCTGGGGGAGGGGGAGGGAGAGAAGGATGGGGAGGGGGAGGGGGAGGGGGAGGTGGAGGAGGAGGAGGAGGAGGATGGGGAGGAGGAGGAGGTGGAGGGGGGGGAGGAGGAGGGGGGGAGGGGGGAGGGGGAGGAGGACCATAGAGGAGGAGAGGAGGAAAGGAGCAGGAGGAGGAGAAGAGGAGGAGGAGGAGGAGGAGGAGGAGGAGCTCTCCCTGTTCCTGCCCAGTGTGGGGGTCAGGGGCACGCCTCCCCCCGCGGCCGGCCGGATGCGGAGGCCGAGTCGGAGGGCTCCCAGGCGGCAGGCCGCAGGAGGAAGCGGCGTCATCTTCGTCCTCGCCGTCGTCCTCGTCGACGTCGTCCTCGCCCTCGTCCTCGTCCTCGTCGTCGTCCTCGTCCTCGTCCTCGTCGCCCTCGTTGTCCTCGTCGTCAGCGTCCTCGTCGTCCTCCTCCTCCTCCTCCTCCTCCTCCTCCTCCTCGTCGTTGTCGTCGTCATCGTCGTCACCGCCGACTGCTTCTGAGAAAGAGAAATTTCCCACAGAAGGAGCGCATGTCTCTCATTCCTCCCTTGTTCCCTGCAGGCCTCGAAGAAGACAAACACTATAAGCATAAACTTTTGGCGTTCCGTGCGGATTTCTTGGATTTGCAAAGGGCCCCCCCAGCGGCACCTCCAGCGCCGCCCCTGGCGCGCTCCGCGCGTTGGGGAGGGGGGTACAGTGCAGATCCAAGAAATCCGCGCGGACCGTTGAAAGTTTATGTTTATGCCGTTTGTTCTTCTTCGAAGCTCGACATCCAACATGCAACGAAGGGGGGCGGAGGGCAGTGGCCCTTGGGCCAACGAATACGGCTGCAGAGCGGGGCCCCACCCTGCCGACACCTTCTGTGAAGGTGTCGACAGTGCGCAGAAGGTGTCGACACCTTCAGTGAAGGTGTCCACACCTTCTGGAAGTCGCAGTGCGCAGCGTGAATCACACTGCGCACGGCGCCTTCCCCGCCATCGAGGGGTCGGCAAGTTGGCGCCGCTTCCCCGGCCGGAAGGCTGGCGGAAGGCGTCGGCAGCAGAAGGACGCGGGCTCCGGCGGCGGAGCGGTCTGCAGGAGGCGGCGGAAGCAGAAGGGAGACATCAACCACAGCTGTGTCCCTTCCTGGCGTCCAGAATCGGCCACACGATGCCGCGAGTTGCCGCCCAGCCTTGTCTCCTCCCCCGCCTCGCTCTTTTTCCCCCGCCCCCCACCCAGGAAGGCTTCGGGTCGCGCCCAGACGACCCGCCCAGGCAGTCCTGGCTAGCCTCAACCGGCCCCCCCGAGCAGTCCGGTCGGAGCCACCGGAGGCGGCGCGCGTGCGTCGAGGCCGCCCCGGGCTGGTCGGTGGTCCCAGCCGAGGCCAGCCGGGGCTGCATGGGGGGGCTGTCTGCACGCAGCCCGAAGCCACACCAGTCCTCCCCCACCTCACCTTCTCCCCCGTCCACACTTTACCTCTCGCTCGTTCCTCCCTAGCCCTCGCTCGTTCCCCGCCCTCCTCGCTTGCCTTCCTCCCTCGCCCTCCTCCCTCGCCCTCGCTCGTTCCTCCCTCGCTCCCCCCACCTTACCTTTTCCCCCTCGCTCGTTCGTCCCTCGCCCTGGCTCTCCCCTACCCGAGGAAGCTCGTACCTGTGGTCCTGGGCTCCCGGCGCGAGGAGACGGCGGAGCAGACGGCGAAGGAGGCGGAGCTGCGCTCGGAGCTCGAGGCGTGGAAGGGAGGGCCCTGGCGTCGGATTTCCATCTGGGCCCCTGGGCCGCTTTCGATTGCTGTTGGGCATTGCACCCATTTTTTCCGTACCCAGACCCCCGACGTCATGTTTTTTTCATGACGTCGACCCCCAGAGGTCCCGACCCTTTCCCCATGACCGGTTTTTCATCCTGAGTCGTTTTTTGACGCTCCCGAGGCCCAGTGAGGGCCCCCGGAGGCCGAAAATTGGGAAAAACCTCCCGTCATGATTTTTTCATTACTCGAGGGGGCCTGGGTATCCATTCCGGGCGTCCGAAACCAGGGGAGGTCACTTCCAGCACGAGCTCCACGAACGCCCCCCCCCGAGCTGGGAGCTGGGAGGCCACGCCTGGCTCCCCGCGCCGGTGGTCCCTGCTGGCTCGATGCTCGTTCTGGGGACCTTCCTGGGGCCCACGTAACGGATCTATTCGACTCAGGTTCGACTCAAGTTCGACTCAAGTTCGACTCAAGTTCGACTCAGATTCGACTCAGATTCGACTCAGGTTCGACGCAGCTTCGACGCAGCTTCGACGCAGGTTCGACGCAGGCTCGACGCAGCTTCGACGCACGAGTGGAACGAGTGGCTCCAGGAAGGTCCCCAGAAGGAGCATCTGAGGAGGGGGAGGCAGGGCGGGAGAAAAGGAGGAGGAGGGAGGGAAGAGGACGGAGGGAGGAGGAGGGAGGGAGGTGGAGGAGGAGAAGGGAGGGAAGGAGCAGGAGGAAGAGGAAGAGGAGGAGGAGGAGGAGGAGGAGGGAGAGGAGGGAGCAGGAGGGGGAGGAGGAGGAGGAGCAGGAGCAGGAGCAGGAGCAGGAGCAGGAGCAGGAGCAGGAGCAGGAGCAGGAGGAGGAGGCTCCAAACCTTGGTCCATCACGGCAGGTGGCCGTGGAACGGTGGTGCGCCGGCCCCTCCTTGTAGCCACCGCCATCTTTCTGTTTCCGCCCTCGTCGATCTTGATCGTTGCTGGGTGCAGAAGTGGCCTACGAGGAGGAGGAGGAGGAGGAGGAGGAGGAGGAGGAGGAGGAGGAGGAGGAGGAGGAGGACGAGGAGGAGGAGGATGTAGGAGGCCCAGGGCTGGTCGGCGCGGCCGACGAGCCCGAGGGCGACGGCGGAGCGCTGACTGGGGCAGCAGCCGTGGGAGCGCGGCAACGTCGCCCAGCCACAGGCCCCGAGGGACGCGACGGCGGAGCGAGGGAGGCCGAGGAGGAGGAGGAGGAGGAGGAGCAGGAGGCCGAGGAGGAGGAGGAGGAGGAGGAGGAGGAAGAGCAGGAGGCCGAGGAGGAGGAGGAGGAGGAGGAGGAGGAGGAGGAGCAGGAGGAATGGGAGGGGGGAGGAGGGAGGAGGGACCAGTGCAAACCCACGACGCATCGACGATATTGAAATGAACCCTCCCTCCAACCCCCCTCTTCGTAGGCCCTTACACAAGGAGTCATTTCCACTGAGGGAGGTACCCCGTCGGGAGGCAGCCGTTTTTCAAAATCGTGAAGCGTGGCGAAACACCATTCTCGGTAGTCGAACGCCACGAACCAACCTGGATGTTGCGTCTAGACGATCCTGAATCGTGCCAGAACGCCATACCTGAGACTTCAACACCGCGAATCAAAGTAAGTGTTGTGCCCTGGTCTTTCTGCATCTTTCCCACCGCATTTATTGTACGGTAACCATGGGAGCCCGTGAAGCTCTTGCCACTGTTTAAGGCGAATGCGCGCTGCGCTAAGGCGAGAGCCACATTTTGAACACAGCCCGCCCTCAATATGGGAAACGATTGCGAATGTGTAAAACGAATGCGCGCGGCGCTAAGGCGAGAGTCGCATGTTGAAAAGGAGCAGCCTTCAATCCGTGACACTTATGCAGTTTTTGTCAGACGGTTGTGCGCGGAGCTAAGGCGACAGCCACATTATGAACACCACCCGCCTTCAATCCGCGACATGCTTGCAAATGTTGAAGACGAGCGTGCGCAGCGCCAAGGCGAGAGCCACACTTTGAACCCCCCCGCCCTCAATCCATGAAACTCGTGCGAATGTGCAAGACGAATGTGCGCGGCGCGAAGGCGAGAGCCACATCTTGAAAACGGCCTGCACGAACCCCGCGAAAGTATTACAATTCTAGACGCTTCGCGTATCCACACCAGCCCATCCAGAAACGATGTCCAGGCGAGTTGAGGTGATCAGGGAAGTGCGGGAGCAAAGAGGGGGACTGCCGATCTGTACGACGGAGGAAGGAGGAGACGGAAGAGGCTAGGCTGGATGGATGGATCAGGGAGTGGGGAGAAGGAGGATGAATAGGATGATGAGGAGGAGGAGGAGCAGAAGGAGAAGGAGGAAGAAAATGAGTAGGAGGAGGAAGGAGGAGCAGGATGAGGAGGGCAAGCAGACGGGCCAGAGGTATCTTGGATGCTTCTAGGGGCCTCTTGTGATATCTCTTGGGCGCTTCTTGGTGGCCTTGGGACGTCTTTAGGGTCTCTTGGCGGTCCTGGGGCGCTCTTGGGCGTATAGGGTGCCTCGGGGGGGGGCTCTTGGGGCCGCTTGGAGTCCTCTTGGGGGCCTAATGGGGCCATCCATCTTGGGGCCTCTTGAGGCCTCCTGGGCGTCTCTTAGGGCTATCTTGGAGAACATCCATCAAAGAAGGGGGGTCCTTTATTAGCGTCCCCCCTCGGGAGCCCCCCCAAGTCGCCTCTTGGAGCGTTCTTGGGGCTTTCTTTGGCCCCTCTTGGAGCTCTCTTGGGCCATCTTGGAGCTATCTGGAGGCCTCGAATGGCAATCGGAAGCGAAAGGGCGAGAAACTCCAAAACATTGATTTCCCCTATGGTTGTTGATTGAGTTTGGCTTCTTGGTTGCATCATTGGGGAGCTATTTTGGTCACTTGGAGCCGTCTTCGGGCGGTCTTTGGGCTTCTTGGAGCATCTTGAAAGCCATCTTGAGGCATCTTGCGCTATCTTGAGCCATCTTGGACGCCATCGTGGGCTCCCTGAGGCCCTCTTGGAGCCGTCTTGGAGCGAAACAATGCCCCCTGACACCTCGCGCCCCCCCCGTCCAAGTCCAGGGGAGGGGGTAGGGGGAGGGGTCAAGACTCCGTCCCCGCCCGCAAGCCGTCTCGCTCACTCCCACCCGCCCCCCCAACACATACGTAGCACCCGAGCCTGGCCCGAGCCGCAGCATATTCAGCAGTCGTCTTTGGATGGGCAGCTGCTGTCGGCGAATCCGCCGCCGCCGCCGGCGGCCGCCGCCGCCGCCGCCGCGCCGCCGCCGCCGCCGCCGCTGTCCGCCGCCGCCGCCGCCACCGCGCCGCCGCCGCGCCGCCGCCGGCCGCCGCCGCCGCCCCCGCTGGCGAATCGCCGTTCCCGCAGCCGCTGCCGCCGCAGCCGCTGCCGCCGCAGCCGCTGCCGCCATCGCTGCCGCCGCCGCCGCCACCGCCGCCGCCGCCGCCGCCCGCCGCCGCCCCGACGCGCACCTGTGGCTTGGCCGCCTCGCGAGCCTCCGACGCCGAGGGCGCCGCGCTCTCCAGGGGGGCCTGCGCCGGCGGCCCCTCGGAGCTCCCGGCCCGGCCCCCCTGGGCCCTATAGGGTGCCCCAGCCTGCTCAGGAACGTCGGGGCTTCCCCAGCGGGGGCCCGTCGTCGATCCATCGTCAGGCGATCGACCGTCCTGGGTGCCACAGCCTGCTCAGGAACGCTGGGTTTCCCCATCGGGGGCCTAGAGTCAGGCGAGCGCAGACATGAACTTAAGGGGGCGTGGGTTATGCGACGGGTCCCGTTTTCTAGGGAATCGCGGATTTCCGCCGCCGGGGGATGTGCTCCGGACGCTGAGGCTGTTTCCGCTCCCTTCCGCGTGGCCGGCGCGCCAGGCCGAAGCCCCAGGGGGAGTTCTAAAAGAACCAAAGGACCATCCCGAAGTCTGGCACGCGCCAGGCACACCTGTGGCAAGCCAACAGGGGGCGGCGGATATTCAGGCGATCGCAAACATGGATTAGGGGGGCGTGGATTAGCGACGGGTCCCGTTTCCCAGGGAATCGCGGATGTCCCCGCCGAGCGAGGCGGCGCCGGCCGCATTGGGGGGAGGGCACCTCCCCAGATCCATGGGTTCGGCGACCGCGCGCCAAATCCGTGGATCGCTAATCCATGCTTGCGCGCCCCCGATGGAGGCCTCTCAAAACCCAAACGCCCTGGAGTCCTGCAAACCATCGCAGCGGGAGGCTTCTGTCGCCATCTTCGGCTTCCGGGGGCCATCGGCGGACCTCGGGGCCGTCAAGAAACGGGCCTCGGGATGAGAAGCAGGTCCCACGGAAGGGGTAGAGACCTCTGGTCCAGAGACTCTCCCCATGGCAACAACCCGAACGCGCAAGGCCAACAAAAAAAAGCCACAGGCCAAGCACATCGTTTTGCGACGATATCAGCGAAAATCATGACGTCGGGGTCTGGGAAATGGAGTCGGAGTACATGGAGTCGAAGGATCGCTCCGCATAGCCGATGCATCGGCGATGCGGCTCGATGTCGATGGAGCCCGATCTTCTCTACGCCGGCGTCGCCGATGCGTCGCCGACGTCGCCGGTGTATCGCCGATGCATCGCCGATGCATCGGTGATGCACCTCGACAATTCGGCGCGATCATCCGACCCCAGGCTGCTTGTAATTGTCCATCCCCAGTCTTGCTTTTTCGGCAGCCTGGAGGCGCCGCAGATTGCGAGCGACCTCGTCGCGACTCGCCCGGAGATCTTGGAGCTGAAGCTCCGGCCCACGGCCCGGAGCTCTCGACCACATCCCCGAGGCGCGCTGCTCACATCCTGGACGGGGCTCTGCCTGCCCTCGAGCTCGAAGAGCGTGCAAGGGCCCCCCAAAAGGCCCACGTGCAGGCGGCGCAAAGGCGGCGGCGGCGCGAGGTGGCCGGCCTTCTGAGAAGGCATGTGGCTTCTCGGAAGCTCCTACTCGGAGAAGGAGGAGGAGGAGGTAAAATGCGCCTACTCGCAAACGTCCGAAAAAAAACAGCAGGTCTTCCTCGATGCAAGGGCGCGTGGGTCCCCCGCGGCGGACTTTTCGGCCACGTGCGAGCAGCTACTCTCTGCGAGGAGCGGCGCGCGCTCGTCGAGAGGCCCTCCCGTCATCGGAGAAGCCTTCTTGGTGGCCTCCGGGCCCTTCGAAGAGGGCCCCTGCCTGCTCCAGAGGCCGGCCCCTCGCCCCCTTCTCCCCTTCCGCGCGCCACCAGGTCGACCACGTCTCGACCCTGGGTCCTCGGTGCCCGTGTCGTCGTCAGAGCCGAGAGATGGTGAGGAGGCGGAGGCGGAGGCGGATGATGGTGAGGAGGCGAGGGAGGAGGAGGAGGAGGAGGAGGAAGAGGAGGAGGAAGAGGAGGAGGAGGAGGAGGCGGCGGCTGATGATGATGATGATGATGATGATGATGATGATGATGATGATGATGATGATGATGATGATGATGATGATGATGATGATGATGATGATGCTGATGCTGATGCTGATGATGATGCTGATGCTGATGATGCTGATGCTGATGCTGATGATGATGATGATGATGATGAGGAGGAGGAGGAGGAGGAGGAGGAGGAGGTGGATGAGGACGGGTAGGAGGCCCGAGGAGGATGAGGAGGCGGGTGGCGAGGACGAGAAGGAGGATGATGAGGAGGAAGGCGATAAGGAGAATGAGGAGCAGGAAGAGCAGGAGTCGAAGGAGGAGGATCGAGGAGCAGGAGTGTGACGACGATGGCGACGATCGAGGATTGTCTGGTTCCTTGCCCTCGCTCGGCTGGCGCTGCCGCGCGGCAGGACCTGAGGGAGAGGCACGAGGCGCTCAACGCAGAGGGCGAGGCGCTGCGTTCCGAGGCATGGCGGGGCCCCTCGCAGCCGTCCCCGCCGCCGCTTTTCTTGTCGTCGCAGGTGGTGGTTGTGGTGGTTTTTAGTGGTGGTGATGGTGGATGGTGGTGATGGTGGTGATGGTGTGGGTGGCGCTGGTGGTGGTGGTGGTCATGGTGATGGTGGTGATGGTCAGGGGAGGAAAAGGTAACTACCCATACGGCTATCCTTTGCCCGTGCCCACCCTTTTTGGGCCTCCTGGGAGGCTCTCGTCGCCACCGCTGAATTCGCATCGAGATTCTGGTCGGAAGGCACCCAGGGAGAGGTCTGGGGAGTAGTGGTATCGGTACCTTTTGGTTTCCCCTGCTCCATGAGCAGGATGGTGGCCGTGGTGAGGAGGAAGAGGCTGGTGGTGACGATGATGCTGACTGCGGTGATGATGGCGATGGTGGTGATTCTTTTCGCAGTGAGAGGGGGAACGGGAGAGGCGGAGGGGATGGAATTTGGACGAGGAAGGCAGGGAGGGAGGGGAGGGAGGGAGGGAGGGAGGGACAAGGAGGAGGAGTAGGAGGAGGAGGAGGATGAGGAGGAGGAGGAGGAGGAGGCGGCGGATGATTATCATGAGGAGGAGTAGGAGGACGAGGAGGAGGAGGAGGACGAGGAGGAGGACGAGGAGGAGGACGAGGAGGAGGAGGAGGAGGAGGAGGAGGAGGACGAGGAGAATGTGACACAAAGTGTGGTGACATATGTGATCCTGCCACCGGCTCCGCGCCTCCAAGCCGCCGCACAGCCCGGCGGGGCGCGCACGCCTGCGAGGGCGGCCGCGCACCCCCGCAGCGGGCCGCCGGCAGCTGCGACCGCGGCGCGCCGCGGGAGCGCCGCGCCGAGCTGCGCCCGCGGGCGGCGCAGGGCTCGGCAATGCGCAGAGGGAGGCAGGGGGAGGAGGGAAGGCTTCTTAGAAGCACCCCTGCTTCTTAGAAGGCGCGGGGCTTCTCTATAGACGTAAGGCCGAGGCCTTCAAGAAGCAGGGTGCTTCTCAGAAGCCTTCCCCCCTCCCCCGACCCCCTTTTGCGCGCCGCCAAAGGGCGCTGCCCGGAAGCCGGCCCCTCCAGAGGGCGCGCCTGCGGCATTCGGGGGTGGACAGAACCCCCACCCTGACACGTCGATTAGGGAATTGTCCGCTTTCGGTTCTCGAGAGGGCGACGTTGCCGTTATTTTCCAGGCTTGCGCCCGCCAGAATTGGGCCCGAGGTCGTTTTCACTAAACCACGTTTTATAAAGGGGGGTCTGTCCATCCCTGAGGCATGCGCCGTCGCGCAGTGCTCCCAGACCGACTCGGGTCATGACGAGCTCATGACGGCAGGTTTGTCGTTCCGCTCGGCCTCCGGGGGCCCTCGCTGGTCCTCGGGACTGGCGAGAAACGACTCGGGACGAAGAACCGGTCCCAGGGAAGGAAGGGGTCCAGACCTCCTGGGGGTCGCGCCGTGAAAAAATCATGACGTCGGGGGCCTGGGCTCCCAGACCCCCGACGTCATGATTTTTTATTACGTCGACCCCCAGAGCTCTCGACCCATTCCCCAGGACCGGTGTGTCGTCCCGAGTCGTTCTGTCCTGGCCCCGAGGCCCAGGAAGGGCCCCCGGAGGCCGAACGTGGCGAAAAGCCTCCCGTCATTTGTTTTGTTGCTTGCTCGGGGGGGGCCCTGGGCTCCAGGGCCCCCGCTCGCGCCCCGAGGCGGCCGAGCATCTCGTGCGCGGCAGGCCAGGGCACGCGGCCGCCAGCAGGCGGGCATATAGCGGTCTTCCTTCTCGCGCTCGGCCGCGCGTGCCGCGCTGCCTGGCTCCCTCGCAGCCCCAGGCTGGTAGGCGAGAGGAGGAGGAGCAGGAGAAGGAGAGGAGGAGGAGGAGGAGGAGGAGGAGGAGGAGGAGGAGGAGGAGGAGGAGGAGGAGAAAGAGGAGGACGAGCAGGAGAAGGAGAGGAGGAGGAGAGGAGGAGGAGGAGGCGGAGGAGGAGGAGGAGGTGGTGGAGGAGGAGGAGGGGGATGATGATGATGATGATGATGATGATGATGATGATGATGATGATGATGATGATGATGATGATGATGATGATGTGATGATGATGATGATGATGATGATGATGATGATGATGATGATGATGATGAGGCTGATGATGATGCTGATGCAGCTGCTGATGATGATGAGGAGGAGTTGGAGGAGGAGGAGAAGAGGGAAGGTGATGACCAATGAGGAAGACAAATGCAGACAATGACGGAGGGAGCAGGAGGAGAGGAGGAGGAGGGGAGGAGGAGGAGGAGGAGGAGTGGAGGTGGAGCAGGTGTGCGTAAGATGTTTATGTGGAGGCGGAGGACGGGAGGGGGGGAGGAGGAGGGATATAAAGTGGTTGAGAAGACCCGTACAGCCCCCCCCCCCTCCGCAACCCCAGATATTGACCCTTGACGTCCCTGGAGGTCCCCCGACGACCCTCGGAGGCTTCCAGGGGCGCCCGATGGTCCGAAAAGGGCCAACAGTTCAACAAACTTACATGGTCCGAGAGCCCCCCGACGCCTCGATCTTCGAGGGCCGAGGGAAGACTTGACGGCCTCCCAATGGGTCAGCTCAGATGGGTTCGGAGGATCGCGCCGCATCGCCGATGCCTCGGCGATGCGGCTCGATTCGGAGCTCGTTCTCTGCATCCTGACGTCGCCGATGCCTCTTCGATGCCTTGGCCGTGCGGCGCGGTTCCCCGATCGCAGCTCAGACGCCCAGACGTGTCTTCGCAGCGTGGCTCCCCAGAGGGTCTGCACCCCTTCCTGGGGGGACCGGCTGCTCACCCGCACCAGCTGTCACGGTCCTGGAGCCTGGCTCGGGCCCCACGGCGGCGGGAGATTTGCCGAACTCTTGGCACGACGCGAGGAGGTCAGGACTTGCTCGGACCCCAGCGCGGGTGGCTGCCGCGGTCTCACAGCACCGCGCGTAACGCACGTCCTGTCCGTGCGCGAAGCGCACTACGGAGCCGTCCCGCCGGACGGATTATTGGCCGCTCCGCTCCGCTCCGCTCCGCTCCATCCGGGTGGCTGCCACTTGGGGCGCTCCGAAGTCGGCCTCGCCCGAGGGGGTCGGGCGCGTTGGCACCTCGCCTTCGGCGGAGGCCTGCGAGCAGCAACAGGAAACAAGAAGGGGGGCGCGGCTCCGAGGGCGGCAGGCCGGCGGAGGCAGGCGGGAGTGGAGGATGCGCCCCCGAGCGACGGCAAGGTCTCCTTGCTCAGGGCTTCCAACCTCCTCCTCCTCCTCCTCCTCCTCCTCCTCCTCCTCCTCCGCTTCCTCCTCCTCCTCCTCCTCCTCCTCCTCCTCCTCCTCGTCCTCCTCCTCCTCTTCCTCGTCCTCCTCCTCCCCCTCTTCCTCCTCCTCTTCCTCCTCCTCCGCACGACTCAGGTCGCTCGCCCCTGTGCCTGCTCTTTGGGGCACTGATCGTCCTGGTGTCCCAGGTGGGCCGCCGCAGATAACTCCAGAATGTCGAGTACAGCGTGATCTGGCTGATCGGTTTTCTATTTGGACTCAGCACTGGCTCCTCTCTTTATATATTTGTTCTATGGGCAGTGACTTTCAGCAGTGGGTGGAGTGCTGTGTTCCATCTGTTGCCGACTTGCTTAGGTACACCTGTTTTCGACCCCTTCTTGCCAAACTCGCCGCGGCAGTCCAGCTCAGTCCCGACGAGCGCTGGTAGCAGATGGAATATCGCGATTGAGCTCTGTATGAGTGGATGGTATTCATCAGCGAACCCACGCGAGCAGACACGGATGCACATTCGCAATCCCTGGCTGCTTCACGACCACAAGCGCATCGTCATCATCCGACGCAGGGCGCTGGCGCAGATACGGCAAAGGAGCTGGGTCGCCAACATTACGCGTATGCACGAGTCTGAGCTGGGCAATTTCCGTGCGGTGCAAAGGGTCTTTGCATTTGGTCCACCATCGCTGCACCCACACCTTCATCTACTGCCGCACCTCCTCACACCCGGCCTGTGCAACGGTGTGAATGCTGAAGATGAGGGCCCTGATGAAGACGACGACAGTATGGATCGCTCTGGTTACCCCAACCATACCGACACCGACACTTGCCCCATAAGCGGTTTTGCGGCTACTTTTGGTGAGGGTGCCGACGGCCATAGCCTTAGCCCAACTCACCAGCCGTCCTATGAAGATGATGTGATGGACCCCTCGGAGTATTCTCATCAGTTTGGCCCTATTCTTTCTGACGCGGAGTTTGAGGCTCAGGTCCAAGCTGCGATCCGCCGCTCACGCGACGGACACGACGACCCCAGAGATCCGACGGCGGCGTCGTCTGGCGAACCGCCTCCTAGTGTACCTCCACCTCTTGCCGTGACCCCTGCTGCAACGGACAACAGCAGTGACGACGACGACTTCGACGCGGTCATGGCAGCACATGGGTTCGGGATTGTCTATCCCAGCGGTACCGTGGGAGGAGCGACCATTGCCCTCTCAGTTGACATGTCGGCTGGCGACGGCAGCGGGTGCTGTTCAGGCGACTGTACCCGGTGCCCGGCGAGGTCGTGGCGGCTCCCATGGTGGTCCTCAGTCTGTTACGTCGGCTGGAGCCCCGACGGCGGTGGGGGCCCACTCCGCGGCCGCACACGAGGCACTGCCCCTTGCAGGTGGTGCCTCTGGTGGAGTCCATCCTGGCATGTCGGCCGGAAGCCCGACGGCGGTGGCCCCCCCCCCCCCCCGCGACCGCGCAAGTGCAAGAGCCATGTGCTGCCGATGCCCCTGCTGATGTACACTTTGGTGCGTCGGTCGGAACGCGGACGGCGGTGGGGGCCTCCCCCGCGACCGCGCATGACGCCTGGCACCCTGAAGGCGGTCATCCTGGAGCAGAACGGTCTCCCATGTCGGCTGGGTGCCGACGGCGGCGGGGGCCTCCCCCGCGACCGCACATGAAGTCGTGCCCCCTGCTGGTGCTCCTCCTGGTGCAGGTCTAAGGCCTCACGCTGGCGATCCACCTGGTTCAGGTCAATCTCTTATGTCGGCGGGTTCGACGGCTGTGGGGGCCATCCCCGCGACCGCACCCCAGGATTTGCTGCTGGCGCTGCGGTCCTGGAGTTCGGCTGTCTCTGAGGCTGCTTGCTCGGCGATGCAGTGCGACGACGCCCTCACTCAGGCTCGCTCTGATACGCTCACGGCTGCCCAGGTGCTCGCTGCTGCCCAGTATTTGAACAACACTTACTCGCTCAGTGCTGACCAGCGGGAGTTGGTGATACGGACGCTGAATTACCCAGGCTCGTGGCTTGTGGCCCCCTCGTTCGTCAGGGCGCCGATCACATACTTTTGCGGATGGTGCGGGTATTCCTGTCCCACAGTATTCGGACGACGAGGACTTGCTCATGACAGTGACCGCCGACGAAGAGCTTGAAGGTGATGATGACGATATGAATGATCACCTTCTCCATGACCACCTCGAGGACGACTCGGTTGAGGATGGTCATGAGGTAGTGGCATTCCCTGAGTTGGGTGCGGCTGCGCAAACTGGCGAGCGCCCTGCTGGTCTTATCGACTGCCACGACGAGCGGGAATTCTCTGACGGTGAAGGCGCTATCCTCGACGAGGTGCACGACGCAGCAGTTCCGCACCAGCAGTTCCTCGCCACTTCCGATGTGCAGGACCCGGTTGCGGGCGACTTCAATGGTCTGGCGCCTGCTTCTGCCGAGGTTCTTCAGGGGGCGGCCGCTGCGCTGGGCACTTGTGCAGCCCCGAACGCGTGCGACCGCGACTCTGCTGATGCTGCTGCGGGTGCTGAAGCTGGTCCCCAGCCTGGCATCCCCGCGGGCTACGGCGACAAAGCCGTCGCCGTCCCCTCTGTCGAGGTTGACGGCTTCTTCGGCAACTATGCCACGTCCGTGGAGCTGGTGGGCGACGGCTCCTAGGCCCTGAGGACACGCCCCGCGGCCGCCGCGGGCGGTGGCGAGCACGCCGCCTTCTGTGTCAATGGGGCATGGGCAGCGGGTAACCTGCCCTCGAGTGCAGTGGCGGCTGAGGCTCATACGGGACAGGGGACTCAGCCTCCACCCCGTCCGCACGTGGCGCCGCCCTTTCCTGCCTTTCCCGGCCACGATGGCGCCGAAGCTCAGCCACTCCCACGTGTCCATGCTCATTATCTTGACCATGGGGCTCCTGCAATTCTCCAGCATGGTTGCAGTGTCCCTTGCGGGTTTCTCAACGACGGCCGTGACGTTATGTGTGCTATGTCATTTGTGGTCTGTCCCTCGACCCTTTTCTCCAGCAGGCTTCTTTGGTCCCAGATGAAGCGGCTGCGGATGTTCCTGTACCAGAGGGCTCAGTCGACGAGGTCTCGCTCATGACAGTGGCCGCCGACGAGGAGCTCGCTGGCGCTGATGGCGATCTGCAGGCTGATCTTCTCCAAGACCACCTCGGGGACTGCGCGGTTGAGGATGATGAAGGGGGGGGGCTTTCCCTGGACTGGTTGCGGCTGCGCAAGCTGGCGACTACAATGGGCTGGTGCCTGCTACCCACGGTGGCTCTGCCTGCGATGGTTGCTGCACGGGCGACTCTGCTGAAGCTGCTGCGGGTGCTGGCTGTCGCCGCCCCCTCGGTCGAGGCCGAAGGCTTCTTCGACAACTACGGCACGACCGAGGGGCTGTTGGACGATGGCCTCGAGGGTCAGGCCCCGCGGCCGCCGCGGGCGGTGGCGAGCGCGCTGCCTCAGTAGGCGTGGGATCCTCCTCCTCCTCCTCCTCCTCCTCCTCCTCCACTTCCTCCTCCTCCTCCGCAGTCTGCCATTCGAGCACCCATCCCTGACATCCGCCGATCGGTTTTTTCGTATCCGTCGCCCGTGGGGGTCCCGACCGACGCCCCCGGGAGCAGTGCTTCGTCCTGGGTCTGTTGCTGGTGGTCCCAGGGTCCGACGGCGGGATACGCGGAAGCGAAAGTTTTCCTCGTCATCCTGACAAGCTGCACATCAGCAGTCTCCGGTTGGTCTATGTTACATAATTTCTCCTGGATGGCGTCCGTGTCAAGGGTCAGCGTTAAGAGACAAGTCGGAAGAAATATCCAAGCAAGATGGGCGTTACGACATGGGCCTGGTGCAATTCGAATACTGGGTTTGTTGTTGAAGCTTACTTTGAGTGAGAAGCAAGCGATGGTTAATGTTCGAGGAGACGCTGCGTTGGTAGCGCGCCAGTGCTATTTTCGAAAGGGGGCCACTGATGTTGGCGGCGCCGAGAAAAGAAACTCGCCCGTCGTGCGCGCCACCGCGGCGACACGGGCTCCACACGGAGGCCGAAACCGAGGCACAAACGCCCTGGTTGAAACACAATGTCGTCGAAGATGCTGGATTGGGGCGGCTGCCGCTTGAGAAGCCCGCCCCCCGCCCCTGTCGCCGGCGCGCCGGGGGGAAAGCGAGGAGGGGCGAGCCACCTTGTCAGAAGGCTCGGAAGGAGGAGGAGGAGGAGAAGGAGGAGAGGAGGAGGAGGGAGGAGGAGGAGGGAGGAGGGAGGAGGGGAGGAGGAGGGGGAGGAGGAGGAGGAGCAGGAGGAGGAGGAGGAGGAGGAGGAGGAGGGAGGAGGAGGAGGAGGAGGAGGAGACACTGCCGCCTCGGAAGAGGCCTCCTCCTCCTCCTCACGTCCCCCCCTCGCTCGCCGCCAGAAGGGCTCCATCCCCCTGGTGTGCAGACCGGCCGCCGCCCTCAGGTGCGGGCCCTGACGTCCTGGCCGGACAGGGCCAGGGAGAAGGAGGCCGAGCTGCAGGAGCTCATGAACAGGCCTCGCCACTGTTTTCTCCTCCTGCTCCTCCTGCTCCTCCTCCTCCTGCTCCTCATCCTCCTCCTTCCTCCTCCCTTCTCCTTCCTCCGTCCTCCTCCTTCCTCCCCCCTCCTCACGGCCTCCGTCCCTTCTCCTTCCTCCTTCCTCCGTCCCCGCTGCCTTTACCAATGTAACATCCCATGCTCTCGGAATCATGTACTGCACTGAGTGCTCGTCGTCGCCGTCGTCGTAACCGTCGCCGTCGCCGTCACCGCCGTCGCCCGAGCTGCCTTTGCTGCCGCCTAGGCACGAGGCCCTGGCGGCCGAGGCCCGGGGGCTGCGGTGCGAGGCCGAGGGCCTGCGGGCGAAGGCGGCGCAGATCCAGGCCGTTGGGCGGGGGGGGGGCGTCGGGGGTTCGTCGTGGTCGCCTCCGTCGTCGTCGCGGAGGAGGTCGTCGTCGTTGTCGTGGTCTTGGTCGTCGTCGCGGTCGTGGTCGTGGTCGTGGTCGTCGTCGTCGTCGTCGTCGTCGTCGTAGTAGTAGTAGTCGTCGTTGCCGCCGTCTTGGGAGGAGTAGGGGGATGAGGATGAGGGAGCACCCCATCGAGGAGGAGACGCCCAGATGCCATCGTCCTTGTTGTCGTCGTCCTCGTCCTCGTCGTCGTCGTCGTCGTCGCAGGAGGGGGAGGAGGAGGAGGAGGAGGAGGAGGAGGAGGAGGAGGAGGAGGAGGAGGAGGAGGAGGAGGAGGAGGAGGGGGAGGAGGACGGGGAGGAAGAGGAGGAGCATTACGGGGAGGAGGAGGCGGAGGTGGAGGAGGAGGAGGGGGAGCAGGAGAGGAGGAGGAGGAGGGTCAGGAGCAGGAGGGGAACGCTCTGCTGGGTGACGTGGTGACCTGTGTGCTCCAGCCAAAAAAAGGCTTTGTGTCTCTGGCGCATGCCGCATCCTCGCGCTCGGCGGAAGCTGGCGGAAGCCGGAGGAAGTCGAACGTCGATCCCGGCCCGCCGGTGGAAGTTCCCGGCGGAAGGCGGTGGAAGCGACAGTGAGGCGTCGACACTTTGGGGTTCAGGGCTTCCGGTGGTGTCAGGCAGTGTAGTGGCTTGGGCGTCGCGCATTGGGGGTGGGGGCGATCGATGGTGGGAGGGGGGGGGGCAGCGAGTGCTGCTGAAGAGGGGTTCAGGGCTTCCGGTGGTGTCGCGCAGTGACACACTTTGGGTTCAGGGCTTTGGGTTCAGGGCTTTGGGGGTTCAGGGCTTCCCGGTGGTTCGGGTGAGGCGTCAACACTTTAGTGACTTGGGCGTCGCGCATTGGGGGGGGGCGATCGATGGTGGGGGGGGGGGGGGGCAGCGAGTGCTGCTGAAGAGGGGCCCCTGTAGGGCCAATGCAGGGGCCCTTGAGGGCCCAAAGGGTTGCCTCTAGGGCCTGGGCCGTGCACCCCTCTTCCCTCCCATTCCTCGCCCCCCATTACTTCTTGCCTGGACGGAGGAGGAGAGGGCAAAGGAGGAGGAGGAGGAGGAGGAGGAGCTGAGAAAACATCAGAGGCAGGGGAGGAGGGCCCGAGAACACCCGGCCCATGCCACCGAGTCTGCAGCGCGTCTCCCCCTGGCTCTCCGGGCCCCCGCCCTGCTACACGCACGAGGCAGGTGCAAGGACTCACCTGGGCTCTTGCCCCTGCACAGCGAGAGGGTGTTTTTTTGAGACGCTCCTCAGAACCCACACTGGCACAGTCAAGCCGCATCACAGGGCGATGAGGAGGAATATTTGGAGGAAGGGGGAGGAGGACACCCTCTTCGAGCCACTCTTACTCCTTACTGGGGTCGAGCCCCGCAGTTTTGTCCCACCTCTCGCGCCTCACCTTTTCCCTAATGCGCCCCCACCTCCCCACAGGGCTTAGCCGAGGGGAGGTGGCAGGACAGGTTCTGCAGGTACCAGGCGCCGCCCGATCTACCTCGAGTCAGTCAGTCAGTGGAGGAAGGGGGAGCGGAGGATGGCCAGGAGGCGCAACAGGAGAAGGAGATAGTCGATCAGAGTCTGGCCAACGTGAGGGCAAGAGGAGGGCAGGAGCAGAAGGAGAAGCAGGATCAGAAAGGGGAGGATGAGTGGCCTCCATCCCTGCATCACTGGAGGACCTTGCGTCTCTGCCTCTTTGTCCTGTTCTTGGTCGTTTTCGCAGGTTGGCCCCACCCAAAGAGACTCCAGCTTTGGTGCCCAGGGCTGGCACGATCAAAATGAGTACGAAAAGAATGGGGGCGAAGATTGACACCCGCTCTTGTCCATTCTGAATAGTACTTGCTGTCGGTGTCGCCGCGGAGGTTCCCCACTTGAGATCAAACATCGCCGGCCCAACAGCCAGCGCTTTCAATTTAGACAACATTTGCTCTTGGGAATCGTGCCCATGTCGCCCGCGCCCATCCCGGGCATGCCAATCGGGGGCCTTGCATCCTTGCTGCGAACCCCTTCGATCCAGTGGCACTGTGTCCGACAACATGCACGGTCTCAGCGCGTTGGCGTCCCAGGCGAGAGCTTCAGGCTTGAGAAAGGGACCGCCGTCGACCCCCAGGCGCGGCCCGACATGTCAGGCCCTCGGACGGTTGTGGAGCGTGTGAGTTTTTAAGGTGGGTCCGCTCGGCGCTGGGGCGAGAGTTACACGTTGAAGACCATTCGCCTTGCATCTGCGATTAGGTCATTGAGAGTTGTTACGATGCATGCGCCGAGCGTTGTAGCGAAAGCCACGCTGCGAAACGTATCTGGTCTCAATGCATGCCGGCACGTCTGGTAGGAAGGATACTGGGGAAAGGGTGAAACAGGGGGGCAGGAAAAAAGGAGCGGAAAACGATCGGATACGGAGGAGGTTGAGGCGCGGGGAGAAAGACACCGAATGGTAGTAGATGGGAAGGACGAGGAGGAGGAATGATTTCAACACGCGCGCGCGGGAAGCCCGCTTGGTCTCGTTGGATTAAGTTGATGAACCATTACGGGTTTTCGTATAAATTCGCAAGGGCGCCCGCGCCGATGTTTTGTTTTGCAACTTTGATATGCAAGCCCTTTTGAATATGTTGTCGAGGACAACGATTTTTATATCATTACGAAGCTAACGGCAGCTGAAGGACTTCAGCATGTGAGCACGACGCCGCGCGAGAAGGATGAAGTGGGAGGAAGAACGGCATCAGGAGGCGATATGGCATTATGATGCGGACAATGAAAGCAGGTGGAGATGATTCTGCTGATGGTGATGCTGATAACGATGATGAAGAAGATGCTGATGACGATGATGCTGATGAGAATGATAATGACGATGATGGAATCAACCCTCCCCCAAGCTCCCTTTTCACTGGTACCTACAACGGTTCATTTCCACTGAGGGAATTGCCCCCTTGGAAGACAACCGTCTGAATACCTTGAAGCATGCCAAAACAGCGGTTTCGGGATCAACCTGATTGTTGCGTCTTGACGATCCTGAATCGTGCCTGAAAGCCATTCCTGGGACTCTAACTCCGCGAACCAACGCATCTGCTGCACCCTCAAATTTTTGACGTCTTCGAGAACACCGTTTTTTGTTGGCACGCTGCACATGGGAATCCGTGAAACTCTTGCAACTGTTGACAACGAATGTGCGCGGCGCTATAGCGAAGCAACATTTTGACAAGGAACTGGCCTTTTTGCCTGCCCCCTCCTCCCCTGAGCCCTCCCCCCGACTCTCGCACTCCCCAGTCTCCTCCTCCAGTCCCAGGTCCTTCCCTGCAGAAGGCCTGCTCCCAGGTCCCCCCCCCGAAGTGTGCCCGCTCGCACCCAGCTGGGAGGCGGACAATCCGAGGCCCTCCTCGATCCCACCAGCGCGCCGGCTCCTCGGAATACACAGGCCCGCGAGGCATGAGTACGCAGGCCCGCGAGGCATGCACGGTGATGCGAGCTTTCCAGGGTGCTGTCTCCCGATTCAAAGTCCCACCTCCCTCCTCTCATGCCCCTCCCCCCCTGGGGAGACCAGAGGGTAGCGATACCGCTGCTCCCCAGGCTTGTCTTGGCGTGCGCTCTGGCCAGGCTCTCGAGGCGAGTCCAGGCGTGACGAGAGGGCCTCCCAGGAGGCCCCCCAAAGGGGCAAACGTGCGGAGGTTAGCAGTGTCGGCACCTTTCAATCCTTTTCCTTCCCTCCTCCTCCTCCTCCTCCTCCTACTCCTCCTCCTCCTCCTCCTCCTCCTCCATCCCTCCCTCCCTCCCCTCCTCCCTCCCTCCCTCCCTCCCTCCATCCCTCCCTCCCTCCCTCCCTCCCTTCTCCTCCATCCCCTTCCCCACTCCGCCCGTCGCCCCCTCCCGGAGGACCTCACGGAAAAGAACCGGGCGCTGGGATCCGAGGCCGAGGGGATGCGCGAGGAGATCGAGGACCTGCGCGCCGGCAGCAAGGAGCTGGAGGCGACCAAGTGGGAGCTCATCGACAAGAACGACGGCCTCGAGGCGGGAGGGCGCCCGCATCTTCGCCCCGCCACGTGCCCTGGCCGTGCCGGCGATGGCCCGGGATCGGGATGCGGAATCCTGAGATCCGACGGCGCGACAATTTGCAACGTCGTGCGACCAAGCGTTCCGGAGTCCCTCGTTCTGCGGCAGATTCCTCGAGCTGGATGGATTTGAGAGGGTCCCAGGGCCCGACATGATGCGGAAGCGCGCGACCAGAGCACACGCGTGCGACGCCAGGATCGCAGGGACTGCCGGGAAATGTGGGTTGGCGTGTGGCGCCGCTTTTTTTCTGGCCCACCACGCTCCGGAGCGACACGCTGTCCACGCCCACGTTCCCGAGCGTCATCGCCCCGAGCTGCTCCCAGCCTCCCACCCTCAGAGGCGACGATAGGGGCGAGTAGCCCAGGGGAGAGCAACACGTGTATCCAGGGGCGCCGATGATCTATGTCTACGACAAGGCTCCCGGGCGAATGCGTGTAATGCCCGCCCCTGGGCCAGTCGCCCTTCTCGTCGCCGCCGACACCCCGCGGAGCAGAGCGACACGCCGTTCGCTCGCAGGGCACAGCGTGGCGCCAGGGCCACCGCCGCGACACGCCGAGAGGAAAGCTCCTGACCGCACCGACACTGCGCCGCCCTGGACCTCGCGCGGGGGGGGGGCGCTCCGATCGAGCCACGAGGCTCTACGCCATTTTCGCCGACCCCCAGAGGAGGCGCGGAGTCCACGGTATGGAGGCGTCGTTGGGCTTCTTGGGCACAGCGTGGGGCTTCTCGTGGGCGTCTTGGAGCCTCCCCGGGCCTCTCGTGGTTCCTGTCCGCCCGCCAGGAGGAAGCCGCGAGTCCCGTCCTGCCGAGAGCCGTCCGTCATGCGAGATGAAGGCTCCCCCGGAGTCCAGCGCCGACCCTGCAGTCGCTCTTTTCCTTGTGCTCTGCTGCAGGTACCGGGAGGTGGAGCTCAGCATCGGCGCTGGTACAGCTGTGGTACGGTTGGAGAGGAGCCTACTCCGCTGAATCCAGTTCCATCCGGCCAGTCAGGCAGGCTCCGTCTTGAGTTCAATCCGCCCTGATGCGGCTCATCGGGCTCAGCAGCGTCGCCTCCCAGGACTTGCCAGCAGGACCTCCTGGGAGTTGCCTCCTGGCCTGTGCAGCTGGCGTGTTAACTGCCCCCCCGTCCGGAGGCGGAGGTGAAGCAGCTGCACTCCAAGATCGACCTCCTCGAGGCGAGCCACGCCGACGAGGCGGAGAGCTGGGAGCGCACCGTCGAGGGCCTGAGGACGGAGTCCAAGGACCATGGGCGGGTCTGCTCTGCAGTCGGGGTGCCGAAGAAGGAACCCTTATCGTTGGGGAGGCGCTCGGTGTTCCTTGATTGTCTTACAGCTTACCTTATAGGTTTTCCTTTGGAATTCGATCGGGGATCGAAGTTTAGCTTGAGGAAGACAGGGGGGTCGTTCCTTATTTATCGTTCCTTCCCCAGACATGCGACGTCCAGATTTGTTTCAGGACGGCGTCCTCGGAAGTCCCGACCCTTTCCCTGGGGCTGGTTTCTCATCCTGAGTCGTGCTCTGGCGGTCCCGAGGCCCGGCGAGGGCCCCACGAGGCCGAAAACGGCCGAAAACCATCATGTTTTGTTGTGTGCTTTTGTAAAGCAAAACATAAAGGAAAACATATAACAAAAACAAAAGCAGCGCGCTCATGTCTGGGTAGGTGACCGCCCCCAACCGTAGGGGCCTCTGCTGGGCGCCGGCCCACCTATCTCTCCGGGGGCCGTGGGGGGCGGGGGGGGCGGGCTGCGCCCGCCCGTGCGGGTTCGTGGCCGGGCGGCCAGGGCACCCCCCCCCGTGGTCTCCCCGCTCTGCCCCGCCCGCTCGCCCTTCGTCGCCTCCTCCCTCCTCCCTCCTCCTTCCCCTCCATCACTCCTCCCTCCTCCTCCTCCCTCCTCCTCCTTCCCCTCCTCCCTCCTCCTCCTCCTCCTCCCTCCTCCTTCTCCTCCCCCTCCTCCTCCTTCCCCTCCCTCCTCCCCCCTCCTCTCTCCTCCTCCTCCTCCTCCTCCTCCTCCTCCTCCTCCTCCTCCTCCTCCTCTCCTCTCTCCTCCTCCTCCTCCTCCTCCTCCCTCTCTCCGTCTCTCCCTCCCTCCCTCCTTCCCTCCCTCTCCTCCTCCTCCTCCTCCTCCTCATCCTCCTCCTCCTCCTTCTCCTCCTCCTCCTCCTTCCCTGAGATCCGGGCGCTGTATTCTTTCCACGCCAGGCGTTTTCGCAAGGTTTTCGGGCCCAGAAGAGGCACAGGTCGGATGGGGCCAGGACGAGGATAAGTCCGTTCCAGAGCGTTCCAGAACGCTCTCGAAGCGTTCTAGAACTTACTGAGGAGGCGGCACCGCCCGAGACATCCTCCAGAGCCGCCGGATCTATTCATCCCCACCCGATGCTATCCTCGTCCTGGCTTCGTCTTAACTGGAGAGGGCCTAGTCGAAGCGCACCAGCGTGCTCCCGCCGCATCAGTGACCACAACTGGCGTGCAGGGCAGCTGCATCACGTGTGCGACGTGTGTCTGGGATGGGCGAGAGCGGGGGGGGGGTCGGAGGGGGAGGCGCGGAGGAGCGGGGGAGAAGGGGGGGGGATCGGAGGGGTGAGGGCGGAGGAGCGGGGAGAAGGGCGGCAGGAGGAGGGAGGAGGGAGGGAGGGAGGGACGGCGGCAGGGAGAGAGGGAGAGAGGGAGGGAGGGAGGGAGGGAGGGAGGAGGGAGGGAGGGAGGGAGGGAGGAGGGAGGGAGGGAGGGAGGGAGGGAGGGAGGGAGGAGGGAGGGAGGGAGGGAGGGAGGGAGGAGGGAGGAGGAGGAGGAGGCGGAGGAGGAGGAGGAGGAGGAGGAGGAGGAGGAAGAGGAGAAGGAGGAGGAGGAGGAGGAGGAGGAGGAGGAGGAGGAGGAGGAGGAGGGGGGGGGGGAGGTGGAGGAGGAGGAGGAGGAGGAGGAGGAGAGGAGGAGGAGGAGGAGGAGGAGGAGGAGGAGGAGGAGGGAGGAGGAGGAGGAGGAGGATGAGGAGGAGGAGGAGGAGGAGGAGAGGAGGAGGGAGGGAGGAGGGAGGAGGAGGAGGAGTAGGAGGAGGAGGAGGAGAGGAGGAGGAGGAGGAGGAGGAGGAGGAGGAGGAGGAGGGGAGGAGGAGGAGGCTGAGGAGGAGGAGGAGTGAGGGAGGGAGGGAGGGAGGAAGTCCGCGTGGGTGGCGATTGAAGCCATCCGAGGAGGAGTCCTCGGCCCACTCCCGTGGCTGTCGACACTGTCATTCGTAGATATGGGGGAGGGAGGCGGGAGCCCACGCAGCCCAGTAGGGAGGGTGGACGAGGAGGAGGGAGGACGAGAAGGAGGAGGAGGAGGTGGAGGAGGGGATTGGGATTAGGAGGAGGGGGAGGAAGAGGTGGAGGAGGAGGAGGTGGAGGAGGAGGAGGAGGAGGAGGAGGAGGAGGAGGAGGGAGGGTGGACGAGAAGGAGGAGGAGGAGGACGGAGGGAGGAGGCTGGCCGAAGGGTCGGCCGAACTTGATTCCGATTGGGATGCACAGTGGCCGGGCGGTGCGGGGGAGCACGCCGCTCTCGGCCATGGGTCGGGGGCGCGGGAGGGGCCCCGGGCCTTCGTATGTTCCTCGCGCTCTCCCTCTGCGAGCAGCGTAGGGGCGGTTCCTCGCCATAGGTTGTGGTCTCTGTGCTCGCGCGCACACGTGGGGCGCGTTCCTCAGGGGCAACGATGCCCGTCGGCCGTTGAGCGTAGGTATCCCAGACGCCCTGAAGTCACAACAAAAAACACGACGGCTGGTTTTTCGCTAATTTCGGCCACTGGGGGTCCTTGCCAGGCCTTGAGACCTTCAACAAACGACTCGGGATGAAAAACTGGTCCCGGGGATTGGGTCTAGACCTCTGAGGGTCGCGTCATGAAAAAATCATGGCGTCGGGGGGTCTAGTATTTTTGTGTTCCCAGGTTCCAGTCTGCTTTAGGCGCCTTCCCATTTCAATGATGGACGGGTTTCACCTGTTCCTTCCTCTTCGGGGGGCGGGCGGAAGCCCGATCTACTTCCAGCGCCTTCCTACTTCATGTTTCTACCCACTTCTTCCGACCGACGGGTAGGGGGGGATAGGCATTTGCCAGGAACGTGCGGATACACTATCGGGGCCTATTGCCGATCTATCGGCGATTGCTCGCCGATTCCAAATCGATGTTTCCCCCTCTACAGTCGGGCCGCTGAAGAAGGAAACCTTTTCGTCATTGGGGAGGGGCTCAGTTCTCCTGAAGTGTTTGTACAGTTTGTCTCAGGTTTTCTGGAGATTTTCTCTGGAACAGCGAAGCTGAGCTTAAGGAATAAAATGGGGCCTCGTTCCTGATTTAGAGGTCCGTGCCAGCGTTTCGACTGTAGCGCAGAACTGACGAGCCACGCGCGAACACGACAAGCCATGCTCTTGCAGTGCAGGCGATGGCAAGCAACAAGAGCACCACCAGCGATCCTTCCCAGCGGACGTGCCGCACTCTGCCGTGGAGGGCTGCGGAGCAACCCCAGAGACATCCGATGTCCGGATTGCTCCAACACGGGGCCCCCAGAAGTCCCGACCTCTCCCCAGGGCCAACTTGTCATCCGGCGAGTGCCCCCAGAGGCCGACAACGACGAACAAACGCCATGAATTCAGGGCTCGCCTTCGGCGCCCCCCTGGCCCCGCGCCGGAGGCCGGGGCGGAAGCAAGACGTGGGCGGCTCCGCCGCCTGCGAGCCGGCGGAGGTCAAGATCTGCACGCGCGTAGGGTCAACACGGATGATCAGAGCCCCAAATCGTCAGGGGTAACTCGGGTCAGGGCTAACTCGGGTTCGTTTTTCGGGAATCCGAACCCGACTTACCCCGGACCCGAGTTACCCCGGATAATTCGGGCGTCCAGAGCCCCACATCATCAGGGGTAACTCGGGTCAGGGCTAACTCGGGTTCCTTTTTCGGTAATCCAAACCCGAGTTACCCCGGACCCGAGTTACCCCGGATAACTCGGGCGCCCAAGATGAGCGGCTTCCCGAGGGTACCTCAGAGGAGGAGAAGGTACCCACGCCTCTACTCGAGGCCTCCTAGATGGGGTCGGAGTAGACGGGGTCGGAGGATCGCGCCGCATCGCTGATGCATCGCTGATGCATCGGCGATGCGGCTCGATGTGATGCCCAATTTGCTCCACCCCGAAGTCGCGGATGTATCGCTGACGTCGTCAGTGCACGGCCAATGCATGGCATTGGGCGTTGCATCGGCGATGCATCGCCGATGTATCGGCGATGCGGCGAGGTCTTCCGACCCTGCCTACTCGGACCCCATCTAGAAGGCATCTGTCTACCCTTACCCAGTTTTCCCCTTGTTGGGAGGGGGCGGCCCTCGTGGCCACCGCTGCATGCGCCTCGACGTCCTGGTCAGGACGCGCCCGGGGAGAGGTCTGGTGAGTAGCGGTGTCGGTACCTTTTGTGTCTTTTTTTTTTTAAAAAAAAAAAAACCTTTTGTGTCTTCTTGTGCCCTTGCATGCTTGCCTCTTCGGTAATCTTCGGTCCATGTTCCACCACTGTCGATGGCCAGCCCCGCTCGAAAAGCTCTTGCACGGGCGGCCAAGGCCCCTGCATCCTCACCGCGCATCCTTACTGCAGTCAGACCCTCACAGTAAGGGTGGGCAGCCTTCTCGAAGGTACCCTTGCATCCTTACCTCCTCAGTCCATCCTTGGCCTCTTTCGTTGGCCGCGCCCCGCACTCAAAGTGTCAGCATAGCCTGCCAAGGCCCTTGCATCCTCATCGTGCATCCGTATGATACGGGTTGATTGTACCAGTTTTGAATGTAAGCTGTCATTTTTTGTTGGAGCGGGGTGGGCCTGGGTTTCCAAGACCGGCCGCATGTCATGTCTGGTATGGGCGAGGCCCGGATGCACGTGTGGCCGCGCACGCCTCCACGGCGGTCCTGCTCCCGTGTGGCCGAGTGCGCTGGTCCTCCGCACGCGCACCCAGCGCGTGGCATCCGCATGACCAACGTGGGAGTCCAGCCACGTGTGTTTCTTGAGACCTCCTAGCTGGGGCCCGAGTAAATAGGGGTCGGAGGATCGCGCCGCATCGCCGATGCATCGGCCATGCGGCTCGGTGTGCAGCCTAAGTTGCTTCACGTCCACGTCGCCGATGCATCGCCGACGTCGACGATGCATCGCCGGTGCATCGCCGACGCATCGCTGACATCGCATGCGGCGCGATCCTCCGACCCCAGCCACGACGACCCCACCTAGGACGCCTCCAGTTCCCAGGAGGAGGAGGAACAGGAGGAGGAGGCGGAGGCGGAGGCGGAGGCGGAGGCGGAGGCGGAGGAGGAGGAGGAGGAGGAGGAGGAGGAGGAGGAGGAGGAGGAGGAGAAGGAGGAGGCGGAGGAGGAGGGAGGAGGAGGAGGAGGAGGAGGCGGAGGAGGAGGAGGAGGAGGGGGCTCCGCAGAGGGCAGTGGGCGTGCGTAGAGCAATCACCACCGCCGTACCCGGCCAGAGGGCCGTGCCGGGCCGCAGGGTGGCGCGCAGGAGCTTCCCTGGGCCTCGGCTGGGAGGGCGCGGCAGGCCTCCTGCTGGGGCCCAGGACGGCCCTGGCAGGAGGAGGAGGAGGAGGAGGAGGAGGAGGAGGAGGAGGAGGAGGAGGGGCAGGCCTCCTGCCGGGGCCCAGGACGGCCCTGGCAGGGCTCCGTGCGGCTCCTCCGATCCGATCCGATGCGATGTCGACGGATTCCGATTCCGATGCGATGCGACTTCAGGCTCCGATTTGGGTTCCGATTGCCACATGAGGCCTGACTACTCTGGCGATTTCGGCCGATTCGGTTTCTCCCGACTTGGCTCCCGATTTCCGCCGATCCGATTATTTTCGGTCCCCGATCCGATTTTTCCGATTCGATTATGGGTTCTCTTGCCTCTGCGTTTTGGAAGCCGTCTTCGGTAGCATAATGTCGTTGGCACCTGGCCGGAGCTCCAGCCGCAGGACCTGAGGACGAGGGTGGAGGGCCTTGAGACCGAGAACAGGAGCCTGTCCGACAAGCTCGAGACCTTCCAGAAGAGGCAGTCGAGCGCGTCAAAGGGGCGCGTGAAGATAGCAGATGAGCCTGACAGCGACATGTTCAATATCGTGAACATGCCTCGCTTCGAGAAGGATGGGGTGGCCATGGGTTAGGGATGGGGGGGAAGGGGCAGAGCGGGGAGAGGAAGAGGGAAATGTCTCAGGCACGTCAGACGCCGCGCAAGATACCTCGCTAGCGACTTTCGGAGCTCAGGATCGGAGCCGAGTGTGCTGAGGGTCTCTGGACGCGAGCTGCGCCCAGCCGTGGCCAGGCGGCGTTCCCCCATGTTCAGGTCAACAAGCAGCTGAGTTCAGAAGCCCGAGGAGACGAGGCTGGGTCTCTTTCGCAACGTTGGCCTCCCGAGGTCTCGACCCCGTCCTGGAGACCTGCTTGGCATCCCGAGCCGTCTTTTCACGGTCCCGGGCCCTGGCCAGCGCTATGGGAAGCCCATTCTTGAAGCACTTCACATCGCGCTTCTGTTTATTTACAGTCGGGGCCCTGAAGAAGGAACCCTTTTCGTTGGGGAGGGGCTCCGCGTTCCTTAAGTGTTTCGCAGCTTGCCTCAGGTGTTCCTTATGTTTTCGATCGGACATCGAAGTTTAACTCATGGAAAAAAAGGGGCCTCGTTCCTTATTTTGGGTTCCTTAGGTCAAGCCCCCGACTGTACATCGCGCTGCTGTTTATTGAACGACGCGAAGGGGTGGTCTATGGCTCGGTCATCGGTTCGGGCGACGACCAGAGGTGTCAGGCTCCCTGGCGGTTGGCGGAGGGCCCGAGGCCTCGAGAGGTCTTTTGGATGCCTCCAGAGAGCCCCGTCCAAAAGCGCCGAGAAACCCTCCTCCTCCTCCTCCTCCTCCTCCTCCTCCTCCTCTCCTCCTATTCATCCCTCCTCCTCCTCCTCCTCCCTCCTCCCTCCTCCTCCCCTCCTCTCCTCTCCTCCTCTCCTCTCCTCTCCTCCTCCTCCTCCTCCTCCTCCTCCTCCTCCTCCGCCCTCCTCCTCCTCCTCCTCCTCCTCCTCCTCCTCCTCCTCCTCCTCCTGATGCTGGAGGAGAAGCTGATCGACGTCTCGCACATGAGGGAAGTCCTGCTCGAGCTCCTGCCAAAGCACGACATCAAGCCGGGCGGCGAGGCGGCCTGGCCCGCCGAGGTGCAGCAGATCCTCGCCGAGCTCTGGAGCTCGGTCGTTGCGGTTGCGTCGTTGTCGTCGATCGTCGTCGCCGGTCGTCGAGGCTTCCCCTGGAGGGTCGAGGATCGAGGCTCTTGCGCGCTCTGGACCCTTTCGGGGCTTCCGGAAGCCGTCGAGGACCTCTGCAGGCCTCAGGAGACTTACGGGAACGTCTGCGGATTTGGAAGACTTTCGGGGACCCAGGCGCGCTCGAATGCGACTGGTCCGCGCGCTCGGCGACGTGGGGAAGCGATCGCGAGCTCTGCGCTTGACCAGCAAAAGCAGCAGCGCACGGCTTGAACAGTGCGAGCCGATCGCGCCTGCATTTCTGTTGCACGGCTGGGGGATTTGGGGAGGAGGAGGAGGAGGAGGAGGAGGAGGAGGAGGAGGAGGAGGAGGAGGAGGAGGGGCAGGAGGGGCAGGAGTGAGGAGGGAGAGGAGTGATGACCCGGATGTGGTGCCGCGTCTTGTTTTCTCGAGACGGGGCCCCCGCACGGCCTGGCCCTTCCCCCAGGGCCAGCTTTGCCTCGCAAGTCCTGCCTGGACTGCCCCGGGCCCAGCGAGGCCCGGAGGCTGCCAACAGGCCTCCGGGCGCTGGTTTTTGCCACGTCGCGAGCAGGTATGAGCAGGCCGATCGGAGCACCTGCTGGCCTGACGCCATGATTTTATAGTGACGCCGACCCCCATTGGTCTCGACCCATTGAATGGGTCGAGACCTCTGGGGATCGACCTCAGGACCTCGGGGCCAGTGAATGGGTCGAGACCTCTGGGGGTCGACCTCACCGGTCCCGAGGCCTAGTAAGGGCCCCCCGAGGCCGGAAATAGCGCCAACTTTGCCGTCGTGATATTCTCATGACTCGAGGGGGCCTGTCGGGAGGAGGGGGAGGAGGAGGAGGAGGAGGAGGAGTAGGAGGAGGAGGAGGAGGAGGAGGAGAGGAGGAGAATGAGAAGGAGGAGGGAGGAGGAGGAGGAGGAGGAGGAGGAGGAGCAGGAGGAGAGAGGAGGAGAGATGGAGGAGGAGGCGAGGAGGGAGGAGGGGGAGGAGGAGGAGAAGGAGGAGGAGGAGGAGGAGGAGGAGGAGGAGGAGGGAGGAGGAGAGGATAGGGAGGGAGGAGGAGGATGAGGCGGAGGAGGAGAGGAGGAGGAGGAGGGAGGAGGAGGAGGAGGAGGAGGAGGAGGAGGAGGAGGAGGAGCAGGGGGAGCAGGGAAGGAGGAGGAGGAGGAGGGAGGACGAGGAGGAGGAGGAGAGGAGGGGGAGAGAGGGAGGGAGGGGGAGGAGGGAGGAGGGAGGAGAAGAGGAAGAGGGAGGGAGGAGGAGGGGAGGAGGAGGAGGAGGAGGAGGGAGGGAGGGAGGACAAGGGAGGGAGAGAGGTGGAGGGAGGGAGGGAGGAGGAGGAAGACGAGGAGGAGGAGGAAGACGAGGAGGAGGAGGAGGAGGAGGAGGAGGGAGGAGGAGTGAGGAAAAGGAGCAGGATAAGGAGAAGGAGGGGGGGGAGGACGCTCACCGCGGGGCCTCCCGGGCGTACCAGGGCCCGCCACGGCGCCCGCCCCAGTATCCGGAGGTTTTCTCCGAAGGGCTTAGGCGACCCGTCCTCCTCCTTCTCCTCCTCCTCCTCCTCCTCCTTCTCCTCTTCCTCCTCCCCCCCCTCCACCTCCTCCTCCTCTTCCTCCTCTTCCTCCTTCTTCTCCTCCTCCTCCTCCTCCTCCTTCTCCTCCTCCTCCTCCTCCTGCTCCTCCTCCTCGGATCGCCTACGGCCCCGGGGGAAGCCGTGCACCAGGAGCCTGCACAACCTGGACCCGTGGCCCAGCGTGCCGGCCGCCGTGCTGAGCACGAAGTACCACGAGGCCGAGCGTCTTCGCCCTGTCCGGGAAGCGTGCGGCTCGACAGCGCTGGAACTGGGGTTGATGGGTCTGTTTTCCACCACCACCACCACCATAAGTTGGAGGGGGGAAAGAGGGAGAGGAGGACGAGGAGGAGGAGGTGGACGAGGAGGAGGAGGAGAAGGATGAGGAGGAAGAGGAGGAGGAGGAGGATGCCCTCCTCCTCCTCCTCCTCCAACTTATGCTGGTGTATTGGGAATCAGGCCTATCAGGGGTTCTCAGAGGTCCTGGTGCTGCAGTTGTTTCACAGCTAGCGTTTTCGCTCCATTTTGTTCCCAGGGACCCTCACAAATCGATCTGGCTCGAAAAAAGACGCAATGATGGAATCTGGGGCTCCGGTCGTGATTTGTTGCAATCAGAATTTTGAACAGCGTCGAATCGCAGGGTTTGCCTTCGTTTTCTGGAGACTTGAGACGGCGGTCAGTGCAAACGGGGTCAGTAAAAGCGCCAGACCTCGAAGGATCCTGCAGGGCCCGTGCTGCACTGACTCGGGTCAGGGCGCAGGATGCTGCATGATCCTGCGAGGCCCAACTGACCGGGATTTGCATTGACCCGGTCAGTGCGCCCCCGACGGCTTTTGACGAGCGCGTCCTGGATTTCGGCAGTTTAGTTTTTGTGGGATGTTTGCAGCGGGAGTTCGCGCCAAATTTCAGATTGGGTCTCGTCATTTTCTTGACGGCCCCGTCAGGCAAAACCGAGTCCCCCGAACCCGAGCTTTGCGTCTCCCTGGCCCTGCTGCCTCTTCTCTCACTCCCGCTCGCGGGCTCCTCCTCCTCCTCCTCCTCCTTCTCCGCCTCCGCCTCCTCCTCCTCCTCCTCCTCCTCCTCCTGCTCCTCCTCCTCCTCTTCTTGGAAAGAGCTAAGGGATGGAGGTGTGAGATTCAGCACGACGGACAGGCTTGTGGCGCAGGGTTCACGAGTCGTAAGACATTCAAGAGCCGTATCATCGAACACCACCACATACACAACCTGGCGGCGATCCTGACCACGAATAATCAGTGCACCCATTGTAGACACAGTGTTACACGCAAAAACACGGCGTGGCGTCGCTTGTCGAGGTCTATGACCAGGGGGGGTGTGTGCGACATAGGACCCGAAACCAGTTCGAACCGACGCCCTCTGTCGTGAACTCTCCGACCCGTAGCAATTTCGATCCAGACGGATACCAGTTTTGTCAGCACCTCCTCACACATCTGCCGCGGACACTTCAGAACTGTGAGCATGTCCGAAGAGATGCCGACGCGGGCGGGCTCGAAACGAGGAACGGAGACACAGCCGAAGGGACGCGACAGCAAGAAGGGCCGCCAGGACCCACGAGAGCAAGGACCATTTGCTGCAGCTGACGGCGAAGCTCGTGCTGACCGTCACCAAAGAGACCGCGGAACTGACGTCGGCGATGGTCGTCACCTGGGAGGTGGACGCAGATTCGCTGATGGCCACTGTCGGACTTCAAGCTGGCGTGGACTACAACTCCGGCGCGCAGGACCGCAACAAGAAGGCCGAGACAGACGACAACGTGGACATAGGTGCGCTGGGGCCGCCCCACCTCGTCGCGTGGTCCAAGGTGGTGCAGAAGCTCGGCCAGGACACGACGGCAAACGCACAGCAGACGCTCGAGAAAAATTACAAAGAAGTGGCAGTGCAGCCCGGCATCGAGAAGTTGGGCACCAGTATCACGATCTTCCGCGCGAAGAAGAACAAGGGCAAGGCCGCGCAGGGGAAGGAGAAGGCTCGGATCCAGTTCGCCTTCCATCCAGAGTACGTACAGATCAGGAACATTAAATTATCGTGGCGGCGCGTATGGCGCAGGGAGCCAGGGAGAAAGGCCGGTCGGGGCCAGGGGGGGCACTCGAGAGGGACACCGGGCAACTTCCAGTGTGAGAGGTGTTGAGGTTGTGACAGGCAGGTCAGCTCTTCCTCTCTTCGTTTCCCCGCCTTCGCAACCGGCGCCAGATTTCGAGAGCTGGCGAATTCAGGGCGACTCCCATTCTTCATGCCTCCTCCGAACGCTGCTCCTGAGCTGCATTTTTCCCGAACCCTCTTCCGCATCAGTTCCCAATTCGCCGCCCCCCCGAGCCGAGGCCCGCGGGGCGTGGGGGGGGGGGCGCGGGGCGGGGGGGGGCAAGGGCTGAGGGAGCAGGACAGGTGGCCGTAAGACAGTTTCATCAGATGTCACTTCGCGCAGCGCCCCTTGCGCGGAGGCGATGCGCGGCTGGGCCCGCTCGTTTGCTGGCGACTGCAGGCCTTCAGCGAAGTGACAGACTACGTTTTCATGCCTGCCAGATCTTGATTGCGACTAGGGAGCGAAGTTGGGGACCCAGAGTATTCGAATCAGCAGGGATCCGAGGATGGTCAAGGAAGGTTCTCCTCCTCCTCTTCCTCCTCCTCTTCTCCCTCCTCCTTCGTTGCCATCTTTGCTCAGGCGGATTCGTGTCCGCGCCGCCGCCCGCCGCGATGTCCGCTGCGCGGGCTGGGGGGGCGCTCGACGGCGCAGCGCCGGTTGCTGCCGCCAGCCGCCCCGCCGGTGCACCATCTCTGATGTCGCCCGCGCGGCGGCGGCCGCTGCGTCATCGGCTGCGTCGGCCGCGCCGCGCGATCCAACGGCTGGCGAGCAGGTGGACTAGGGCGCGCGTGAAGGACAAGGAGCTGGAGCCGATGTCGGAGGCCAAGGTGGAGCGTCGGCGGTGGTGGCGCCGCCGCCGCCGGGCGGAGCGGCGCGCGGCGGGGCGCGCCGGGCTGCCTGCTGCTGACGCCGGAGTTGGTTGAGCCCGTGGCATGGAGCATGGCGCTACGGGCGCTGGCGGAGGCGGGGGCGCGCTCGCGCAGATGATGTTGTGGGCGACGGCGCGGCGGACGCGTCGCCCCTGCTGGCGGCCGGGCCGGCAGCCTTGCCAGACGTCTTGATTTGCCACTACGTAGATCCCCAGAGTTCTCGATCCTTTCCTCAGGGCCCGTTTCTCATCCTGAACAGGTTTCGGACGGCGCCGAGGCCCGGGAAGGGCCTTTGGAGGCCGAAAATTAGGAAGAACCTCCCGTCGTGATTTTTTCGTTGCCCGAGGGGGTCTGGGTCAGTCGGTGGCCGCTGGCTCGGGCGAGCGGGGCGGGGCCTGCCGCGGTGGCGGCGCCTGCGCCCGGCGCAGCGGCTGCCGCGGCGGTGGCGATGGGGTCGCGCGCGCTCGGGCGGCCTGCGCCTGGGGCGAGGCTGCGGACGCCGCCGTCAAGACTGCGGCGCGACTGTGGCGCGGCAGTGGGGCGCTGCGGACGCCTGGGGCGCGGCTGCGGCGCAGCTGGGGCGCGGCTGCATGGGGCGCGGTGGCGTCCGCGGCGAGGTGGCGACGCCGCGCCGTGGGCGCCGCCGTCGAGACTGACTTCATCTCGGTCTTCATCCTATCGTGCGTTCTATATGGGTGCAGGACTTAGCCTTAGTCATCCTGGCCCTTGCAAAGAGTTCTCAGCGTCCACGACGCGGTGGCGAAGTTCGTCGGGGACCTGGCGACGGCGATGGTCGGCGGCGACGACTAAGCGCGCGCTGGTGGCCCCTGGGCGGCCTGGGCTGGCTCATCAGGGAGGGCGTCGTCGGCTACGACCGCGCGGCCGATGGGCGCTCGGCCCCCCCGCGGTGCGCGAGCGACCGAATGCTCGCTTCTGCCGAGCGCGCACCCCCCCCCCCCGCCGCCTCCCCCCCCCCCCCCCACCCCCCCCGCCGCCAGCCGTTTTGGCGCGAGGCTGCCGCGCCGAGAAGACTCCGCGCTTCCGTGCCGGAAGAGGCGCCGATAGGCCGACGCAGACTTCAAGTCTGCGAAGCCCTGCCGTCGGGGAACAAGCAGACACATAGGCGCAGTAGCTCTGAGGTCCGCGCGGAGCCTTCAGATCGGCGCTGGGCCCCCTTCCCCGGCGCGCCGGGCGGGGCCGGGAGGCGCGAGGCGAGGTCGCGCGGAGCGAACCGGGCGGCCCGGAGGCGCCGCCAGGGGGTCTGCCGCGCCGATCTGAGAAATCTGCCTGGACCCTAAAGCCGCGATGTTTATGTCATTGTTACTTTCCCCGTACCGCACTTCCCTCGCATTCCTTCTGCCATGGTGACTCAGCGCCGTCAGCGCGAGGAGGGGCCGCGGGCTCGCGGCGGTGGCAAGCGCGGCCGCGACGTTTGCAGCGCCCCATCGCGAGGGGCATTCGTCGTCTGGTTTTCGTTCGAGGTCCAGTCGGCGTTGTGCATCTGAGGAGCGCCGCGCTGGCGGCCGCTTTCGCGGTCTGTGCCGAGTTGAGCTCGAGTCACGATTAGCAGCGTGCAAGAGTAAGTTGAAATATATCACTCCTTCCAACGTGGTGTCTTCACGACAGAGGCTCTCGCCCCAGCGCTGACGGCGGCGGAGATTTTGAAGCGAGCTCTGAAGGATTCACCAGCGAAGCTGGAACTCCAAGTCTCTGGGCGAACACCTACTGGAGCTTTTGACTCGCATCCAGGGCCAGATGAAGGAGCTCTCGCGCACAGCTCATGAGCAGGCGGCAGAGTCGGAGAAGCTGGGGGCCGAGATGGCGGAAATCAAGCGGGCGATGGCCATCGCCAACGAGGCGCCGAAACTCATTCTCAATGGCGCGGTCTCCTCTCAGCGAGAAGCTGATCCTTCTATCCTCAAATTGGGCTGGCGTCAGCTAGTTTCGCGCGGTGCTGTGGTGGTCTCGTCTTTGTCCGCGGTTCAACTCGTTGCAACTGCAAGACATGCGCAAACCCGATGGGGCAAGGTCAACCACCATATTTTCATGGTCACGTATTCAGGCCCCGCGCAGGTGGCTCAGGGGAAGGTACTTCGTGCGTTCTCTGACCCCCGCGAAGACAGTGGGGGGCGGACGGGTTTCACAGCGTTGCTGCGGCGTCTGGGTGCGAGACGGTCGAGCTCCATATTGGTCCAGGTATGGCGGCGCCTTACCGCACCCAGCTGGATGTGCAAGGGTGGCGTCTCTGCGCGTTTCTTATGGATCAGTGACTGGATCTTAGTTTCTAGTTGGCGCGTGATCGCTGCGCCATCTCTGATGGCTCAGACCTTCAATGTCGCCTCGAGCCCGCCCCCAGGCGCGCGCCTACGAGGGCGCGGTGGAACGCGCCCGTCCTCGCAAGCTTCGAGCACCGCAAGCAGGAACTCGTCGATCTGTTCAAGCTGGCTTTCGAGCCCAATGCGGAGCTCGGCGGGGCTCTCTCAATCGTTCGGCGACTTGGTCGGCTTTTTTGGTCCAGCGAACGGGCTCGGGAGTGTGTGGGTTTGTCCTTCACCTCCTGGAATGCTTGCGCTTCGCTCAAGTCTCGTGGTTGGCGTGCTGGTAGCGCGTCTCAAAATGTTGCGTCTTTTCTCCCATGTCAGGTGGTCCTCGTTGTGCAGGAATTCAACCGGAGCCTTCCAGAAATCGAAGTTTCTGTTTGGCAGGTGTCCCCCATCGGCAGTTGTTTTCAATCGTCACGTGGCATTGACTAGTCGGGCCGCGCGATTGGCGGAATGGCTTTGCTCACTATTGTTAATCACGTCATGCTGCGTAGTTTCTGAAAAGTTGGAGCATCTCCCGGGGGGGATTTCCGCGCTTGTCGTCAGACTTGCAATGCCAAGATTCGCTTCTTCAGCATAAACAGCTCTGGTATGTCACCAACGATGGCGAACCACCTCGTTGATCGAATTCTTATGAATACCACTGGTCCGCTCAGGACCCCTGCTCACATTTGGTGGTGGTACATGGCAACATCCTATTTGCAGCAGTGGATTCTCTTAATGTTGGCATCTGCCTGGCGCCGCACACATCGACCTCGCTCTGACGCTCGCGTCTTGGGAAGGCGGTCGGCCGGTGCGCCGGATCACTCGGTTGAAGCTTCTTCTGGCGACTGCCCTCTCATGCGGTGGAGCTCACACAGGTTTCGGCCATTGGCCGGCGTTCCTGACATTTTCCGTCGCGCTTGCTTGGTCATATTCGCCCCCCTCTCAGAGTACTACCCGACCCCGAAGCGATTGCAGAGCAGTGGGTCTCCGACCGCGCTGCCACTGCTATCCCGTGTCTTCATGCGTAGACGGGGGAACAGATCAACGCCCCATTCCCGGGAACATGCTTTCACGAACGATTCGAGAGTGCGGTTGGCAGTGATCGCGAGGGCGGATCCTCCCTTCCCTGCCCGTCGTTCTTCTTCCCCCTGCCCAGCTTGGTTTCCACGAGGACCACGCGCGCGAGACAACACGCGAGGCCAAGGCTATATGGATCAAGCATGACCCTCAGTCTGTCGGCTCTCAGGCCCTACGCACTTGATCGTCAGATCGAGCGGTGCGCGTTGCGTAACGTAGCGTTGTTGGCCGAACGGGCCATCGCTCCTGGCGCCCTGTCAGCAGCTGGGTCACTCTTCTGCGACGCTGCGCCGTGAGGATGCCGCGCGGCGCCTTCCGGCGGCGCGACCCGAGCCTGCTGCCCGGCCGATTGCCTCTTCCCCGTCGGCCGTGGCCCCCGCCCGGGGGCGGGCGGGCGCGCGGGTCGCTCGGCGGAGGCCTCCACGGCCGGCGGCCTCGCGCGCGGCAGCGCGTCCTGCCAGCGGCCGCCCCGCAGAGTCGCCGCACTGTCCGGGGGCCCCAGGGTCCCCCGCAAAGTTTCGCGGCGGCCCCGGGGGTTCGAAGACGGGCGGGCACTGGTGCTTCGTGCTACTTATTCTCCTGGCGGCGCAGAGCGGCATGAGAGAAACTGTCCCGCCGTCGGGGGCGCCTGCCCCCCAGGCGGCCACGAAGTCCACCGACGGGACCACCCGTCGGGTGATAAGGAGGTCTGGGGGGGGGGAATGGGGAGGCGGTCGATTTGCGATGAGCCCCGCCTGCCGCCAACAAAGAGTGCGCGGGCAAATAGATGCCAACGTCCGGCCGACCCTACTTATCTATATATATATATATATATATTCACGCTTTTTTCGATCTATCTAAGTGACGACCTATATTCTATCGGTGTATATATCAAAGTATCTGTCTTTCGATCCATATATACAATAATATAGATGTCTATCGACCACTGCATCCACCATCACGAATCCACCGTCGGGGTGCTATCGGGACAACCATCGGGACCACGATCGAGACAACCATCGGGACAACCGTCGGGACAACCATCGGGACCGCCATCGCGACAACCATCGGGGCAACCATCGAGACAACCATTGGGACAACCATCGGGACACCCATCGGGACAACCATCGGGACGACCACCGGGACAACTATCGGGACAACCATCGGGACTACCATCGGAACGACAGTCGGGACAACCATCGAGACAACCATCGAGTCAGCCATCGGGACAACCATCGAGTCAGCCATCGGGACAACCATCGGGACAACCATCGGGACAACCATCGGGAGTACCATCGGGACAGCCATCGGGACAACCATCGGGGCAACCATCGAGACTACCATCGGGGCAACCATCGGGACAGCCATCGAGACAACCATCGAGTCAGCCATCGGGACAACCATCGGGACAACCATCGGGTCCACCATCGGGACAACCATCGGGACAACCGTCGGGACAACCATCGGGACAATCATCGGGACACCCGTCGGGACAACCATCGGGACAACCATCGTGACAATTATCGTGATTTCCATCGGGACAACCATCGGGACAACCATGGGGAAACCCATCAGGACATCGGGACAACCATCGGGACAACCATCAAGACAACCATCGGGACAACCATCGGGACAACCATCGGGACAACCATCGGGACAACCATCGGGACGACCATCGGGACAGCCATCGGGACAACCATCGGGACAACCATCGGGACAGCCATTGGGGGCCGCGCCCGGCGGGGGGGGGGGGCGCGGGGGGCGGGCGACCTTTTGGGCTCCATGTGGCCTCTACCAGTGCAGGACCTCGCGCAGTTTCGCCTCGCCCTCACGCACGACGCGAACCGAATCCGAAACTGCTTTTCCGGTTGGAGCCACTTCCGTCCACACCCCCAACCTCCGATTCCGCATCGAAATGCTGATCCTGACCCCTGTCCCGTTTTCATGGAGCTGCGCGCGCACCCTTGGCTTAAACGCTGTCGCACCTGTTTGGGAGAGGCTGCAGCTAGCAAAACCAATTGTTTGTCTGCTTGGTGTTAGGGCCCGGCGTTCTGCTGGGGCGCGGAGCAGAGACGGTCGCGCCCGGACGCGATTGCTGCAATGGCGGGCGACGCGGAACGAGTTCAGGGATGATTATTGACACATGTTTTTTACGTTGTATCTTCTCGCCAGAGGCTTCTTGCGGGCGCGCCAGGGCGCAGCGCGTCTCAACGCGCGGGGGGGGCGATGCGCTCGGGGGTGAGTTCAGACAGTTTGGGAGGTTCCCATCTCTGCGACTTTCCCCTGAAAGGTTGCTATGCGGGCTGATCGCCCCCCGGTGGATTGCCTGCGCGGTCATATTGTTCATTCTTCGTCAGTGCGGCAGCTGTCCAGAGCTTCGGTGGGCAAGTTCTTTGGACCCAGTTGCCTGTAAGTTGGTTGCAAGGCGCGCGCCAATACATTGCTTTTTGGGTGAAGCAACCTTATCCGCGGGGGGCGACGCAACACCCTGGACAAGGGCAGGGGCGATGATTCCCCCACGCATCCATACCGCTACGGTGCCACGTAGGGATATGCACTTTGCAGCCGTCCAGAGGGCAGGCGTCCCCGACGGCGGACAAGTTCATGTTACACCGTCTGCGTCCGCTGAATGTCTCCTGCATATCTTGCGGCACGTATCTAGTTACGGTGGGTCTCCTGCCCACCTTCGCCGGGAGTTGTGCAGCAAGACCCGAGGTCCGTTCCGTGGCATCCTCATCCTCATCCTCCAGCTCAATCCTCCTGCTTCTCCTCCGTATCCTTTCGCATTGTCCTCTCTCTTGGTCCTCCTCTCAATTTTGTGCCCCTCCCTTCCCTCTCCCACTTCTTGTCCCGCGGCGGGACAAGCAGTGGGACTCCCGCCTCCCACCCCCGCACTCTTTCATCCTCTTCGCCCGCTGCGTGTGCCTAAAACTGGTTGTTCCTCTTCCTACTCCCTGTGCTTGGTGCGAGGTCAAGCAAGCCCGTAACCGCCGAGAATTCAAAGGGTTGGACGTCGACGAGCTAGCGGATTTCGCCTTCATGATGTACGAGTACCTCTCGAAGTCAATGCACGCAGAGACGAGGAAGAGGGCCAAGTCGAGGGGAACGCTGATCTCATTCGGCGGCTTTCCGGCCAGTGACCTCGCTGAGGTTCGGAGGCGTTCTGGCCAGATGTCTTGAAGCTATCCAGTTCCAGGCCGCTGACATCGGTCGTGCTGGGTCACTGATCTGCCTTCCTTGATTTCCTCGTCTTTTCGTCGCCTGCGCCTTGGCTTGTCATCCAGGTCTGCCGCAGGCAAGAAGCGAATTTGGCCAGAGTGTCGGGGGGACGGAGGAAAGGGAAAGAGGGAACGGGATGACAGGGAGGGAGGATGGTGAGGCGAGGGGTGGAGGGGCAGGGTGGAGAAGGAGGAGGGGGAAGGATGGAGGAACGGACGAGCAGGAGGCAGGTCACCTCCTCCTCCTTTGTTCCATCATCTTGCCATCCCCTCTCCTTTACCTCCCCCATCTGTGCCCTCCCCCATCTACCTTGCCTTTTCCATTTTCTGGCTTTTGCGGGCTGTGCAGCGGTTGCCATGTGGACTGTTCCGTGCCGCAGGGAGAGGAGGTGGAGGGAAGATGGCCAGGAGGGATGATGATGTTGATGATGATGATGATGACATTGATGTTGTTGCTGCTGCTGAAGATGATGGTGGCGACGACGACGATGATCATGCTGACGGTGCTGTTGACGACCGACAAGTGACTGACACGAACAACTGGACTGAGCCTGATAATGAGATGAAACCACTCCTATTCATTATCATGTAGAGTGATGCTTATGAGGATGATGATGCTGATTATACTGGTTATGATGATGGTGGTAGTGTTGCTGATGCTGGTGATGCTGATGCTGGTGATGATGTCTGTGATGAAAATACGGATAGTGATATTAGCGCTGACGACGACGACGACGATGGTGACGATGATGCTGGTAATATTGAAAATGATGGATGACGGTGATGCTGATGATGATGATTTGTGATGCCTATACACATCATGGTGCGGGTGCTGACGATGATAATCATGATGGCATCAAGGATGTTGATGAGTATCTTGGTTTTGATCTTGATTGTGGCAACGCTGCTGCTGCTGCTCATGATCGCGATGTTGAAAGATGACGCTGATGGTCATACTGCTGATTATGATGATGCTGGTGCTGATGATGGCAATGGTGGTGGTGCTTGTGATGATGGTGATGGTGATGGTTGAGGAGGAGGCTTAGGAGTAGGAGTAGTAGGAGAAGAAGTAGGAGGAGAAGGAGGAGGAGGAGGAGGAGGAGGAGAAGGTGGAGGAGAGGGAGGGGGAGGAGGAAGGGACTGGGAGCAGCAGCGGCAGGGGGGAGCAGCAGGTTCACTGTCCGCTCGCGCGCCATCCGGGGCCCGCGGTGCGCGGCCGGGGGAGGCGGCAAGGCCGGCCCCTGCCCGCGCGCTCCCGTCCGCGGTTGGCGCTGCGATGTTTCTTTGGCCGCCCCTGCCGGGGGCCTCTTATCGAAGCCGCCTGCGGCGAATCACCGCCGCCCCCTTTGTCTTTCAGGAAGCGCGTATGCGGCCGTTTGCTGAGCTGGGGCTATCGGGCCATGTGGTCCCCCCGTTGAAGTCTTTTCGGGGGACGCGTGAGGAAGAGGAGAGAGAGGAAAAGGGGGGACTACGGAGCAGGAGAAGTAGGAGAAAGAGGAGGAGGAGGAAGGGGAGGAGGAGGAGGAGGCGTAGAAAAAGGAGGAGGACCCCTCTTGCTTCGAACGAACCAAGAAACATCGGAAGGTTAGCACGCCAGGCACCGATGTAATAAATCACCAGGTGGCGCGGCGAATCGACGACGCCTACGGCGAATCACCTCCATCCCGTGCCTTTCAGGATGCGCCTACGCGGCCAAACGTTTGGGCAAAGTTTGGCCACGTTCATGGACCATGCGTTTCCCCGATTGTGTGGACGTGGGGGAGGAAGAGGAGGATGAAGAGAGGAATGAAGATGATGAAGAGAAGGATGAAGAGAACCATAGTTTCATCAGTGACAATGAGGGTAGCCACAAGGGCATGGTGACGGAGGATACGGATGTGATGATGACGAACAACATTGTTTTCTATGCGGCGAACTACACACAGTGGACTGATCGAGGCTTCAAATACCTACATACGGCACACATGGATGACAGTGGCGTTCATCTGGGAACAGAGATTCATTTGAAATATTGACAATCATTGCGGGCACAAGCAGTACCTACAGCTACTGATGGGCGCCTGGGACATGGTGGAGTTTGGGCATTGGTCAAAAACAATATAGCCTCGAGAGTTCTCTACCCATGCAGAATGGATATGACAGGCAACTCTCAGTATTACGAAACGCAATGGACGGCCAGAACATTGAGACAACCTGGGATAGATATCGCGTTTATTTCAATGTACCTGAACGACAGTGAAGGCAAGGAGGGTACCAGTGGACGGATCCTCTCTATGATTTGGCAGGGTATACCAGAACAAATACCAAATCATACATTGTTATGGGAGACTGGAACGCGACGCCACATCAATGATGGGTTTCAGGGTGGCCGTCATCTGTCAGGGGCTCCATCGTCACGGCTCCAGCTGCTTTCGCAAGTAGCAGTGGGCATGGTCGAATCTTGGATTCTGGAATGGCTTCGGAGGAGATGGCGGGTATAATCGCATTACAAGTCGACCTGAAAAGGCCCCTGGCCCCCACAAATCGGCCTACGAAGGGAACTAAGGGTGAATCGACAGCTTCTTCAAGCACGTATATTGATGCCAGTGGCGTCAATTGTACAAGGCGCTTGTGGTCCAGACATACCGTGGGAACGTTTTGCAGAACATACAGCTCCAGAGCACCCGCAGGATTAAGCGTCTGGGAGGCAGTCACCAGTGCGACCCTCTCCCAGAAGTATCAGGCCTTCTCGCACCAGGCGGAAGGTTTTCTTTTAAGCAGATCAGGAAAGGATATAGGAATGCAACGAAGGGGGGATTGCCCGCGGGTCCATGTTTCGAGCCTTTTCGCTGGACGACCGCCAGGATGTTTTGGAAAGGATCGGGGCGTGAACTTCTGGGGTGACATCAGACCCAGGATCCAGGAATATTTGTCATACAACGGAGGAGGACACATAAGGAGGATATGAACCAGGAGCGAGCGATCTGCCATCAGCTTCGAGAGTGGGCCAGAGGCCCAGCGCGCCTCGAGACCCTCGCTGCAATGCCCGAGGGGGTACGTCAAGTGGGACGAGACCTGCTGGCAGAGATTCTCGAACTCCCAGGAGACCCGGGAAAAGGGTACGTTCCCTGCTCAGTAGAGCCAAGGAGGTCTTGGCTAAAGTAAGTCTCGCAGCCATGAAGGAGAAGAGTGAATGGTCCCAGAAGTACTTAAACCAGAGTCTCAACCGCGGTGCCAGCTGGGCCCACCGTTTCACGAGAACCTGGGAACCGCCAGAACCGAGTCTTGAAATTGAGATTGGCCCTGATGGGCTGGAGCTTGCCGGCCTCGACAGCATCGTGCGCCCAAACAAACGAACTCATATGGGCAGAGCTCTGGAAGGGCACCGTGGGCTCCGAGAAGGACCACTTCCCCGAGTGGCTGCGAAACCTCAGGGACAAGTCAGGGAGCAGCAGCAGGACAACCCCCTTCCTCGAGCTGACCCTTGAGAACATGACAGAGGGCATGAGATATTTCAAGGCCCGCGCGGGGCTCGGTGCGGACCCAGGGAACCCGAGAGCGCGGCTCCACCTACCGAGAGCTGGGCAATGTTTGATATAGGAAATCTTACAACATGTAGAAGAACAACTAGCGCGGCCCCAGCAAGCTCTCATGAACATCGCGGCCATGACCCCGACGCCACCACTAGGAGGAGACCGTCCTATTACGCCGACTCCAAGGGGCTTATCGTCTATGGGCTATCTTGAGGAAATCGCCAGTGACCACGCGGGAGAGAGAGCGAGCGGGTTTCTGAGATTCGGCAGCGAAAGGAAGCAGTCCCCTGAGGGCGGCAGTTTTGAGACACTTGAAAGCGGAAGCGCGCGGGCCCCTGAACATCCATTGGGTCCAATTTCTCTGGGGCGCAGGAAAGTTCGATGATTTCATCCAACCGTCAACCCTGGCAGATCTGGCTCAATCGCTTCAGTATCCGCTAGTTCCGTTCTAATCTTGCCCCACTGCAACACCTCGCTGATCGTTGGCTCGCCGTGGGCCGAACTCTCTCTGAAAGTATACGTGCAACCGGCGCGATCATTGCGGGGTGCATGCAGAGTGCGGCCTGGTCAAGAATGTACCTCTGGGACAGGCTGGGCGACATGCACAGAAGGTTCCCACCCCCGTTCAACCAGATCGACAGCTGGGTGGATGACTTGGCTCAGCTCAATCTAGCAGTAGAGTTTCAGTACTTCGACAAGCAACGGAGGTGGCAAGAACTCTGGTGGAACAAATGACTCGGAAAGGCCTGAGGATTTCAAAGAAGTCAGTAGGAAATTGCAGCACGCCGGCGCTGCGAGATGAACTTCGTCGCACCATCGCTCTCTCGGCCCCCCGATCAAGGTCGACGCGAAGGCCGGGGGCATGGGCATGGATGTAACCGGCAGCTCGAGGACACCAGGGGTAATAAAAGTGAGGCAGCTGAAGGGTTCTCACAGAGCCCGCGCCATTAGGTTTTTAGGTGGGACTTCCGAGGGATTTTAGAAACTGGCCAAGACGGGACACAAACCACAGGTTGCCTGGGGGGCCGTGGCCATGGGCCTAGCGCCCGCGATTCTTAGGAAGCTATTCTGCGTCCCTCAATAGTTCTGGGTCCCCGGACTACGGGCACCCCCCGGACTACAGGTACCCTCCCCCAGACTACAGGCACCCCTCCCCCGGACTACAGGTACCCCCCCCCCGACTACAGGTACCCCCCCAGGACTACAGGTACCCTCCCCCTGACTACAGGTACCCCCCCCGGACTACAGGTACCCCCCGAAGCTTCATGTGCCCCCCGAAGCTACACGGCCACCCGAGTTGTCTACCCCCTCCGAGCCGAAACGGTCCGCCTGGAGTGTTTCTGCCCAATGCCGCCCATGCTACTTAGGCGCAGTTCGCCAATGTGTGTGTGTGTGTGTGCGTGTGTGTGTGTGTGTGTGTGCGTGTGTGTGCGTGCGTGTGTGTGTGTGC